GTGGTGGCTTCGGACTATCTTCAATCGGCGCAACCCAGGCATCTGTTTCCCTCAAAAGAGCATGTCCAGGAAACAAACTACACGTATGACCATCGGGCCCACAACCCAAGAGCAACAAATCGAAAATGGGCAATTTGACCGAATCGCGCGATGCGAAACTGCGCACGAGGAGTTGCTCATACTGGTCTGCCAATTCCTGGACATCGTCGAGATGCGCCGTATCGATTGGATGCACGGTGGGTTTGCCCATTTCGGCGGGGATTTTGTCGAGGAGTTCGCTTTTGAGGAGCGCATAATTGGAGTCTTCGTGGGTGAGGGGCACGGCTCTCTCGTCTGCGAAAAAGATTTCCCATTTGGAGAAGTGGATGATGTCGTCGGGACCGCTGGATGGGGCGAGGAGAGCGGCGGCGAGGGTTTTGGGGAGGGATCCCCCTGATACGGCGATTTTGAAGGCGTCGTGGCGGGTGAGTCCGGCGGTTTGGGCTTGGACGATGTATTGACGGAGAGTGGTGGCCAGGATGTCGACGGTTGGGAATGCGAAGAGATTGGGTTGTGAGCCAACCATTTTTGCGATGTTTTAGATTATGTGTGTGGGTGGGTGAGGGTGAGGGTAAGGGTCGGAGGATTGGTGAATTGGTGGTGGATATTGGTATGAATTGAGAAGGTTTCGCGGAGACTTTGATTGAAAAGAATCAGAATTATGGAATTGGAAATTGAAAGGTTCGAAAATTGTGGGTGATTGATGCGAACGGAGTAGAGAGTGAGTTTTTGATGGTGGGGGTTTGGGTTTTGATGGGTTGGTTGCGATAAGTGGATTTTTTTCTTCCTTCTTCTTCTATCTGAAAGCGGTGGATTGATTAGATGATGACGATAATGGAAGGAAGGTGATGATATAGGTAACTTATATATAGAAACAAAGGTTTTGTTATCAAAATATATAAATTATCTGAGAACGGATTTTATTGTCATCATCGTACCTTTTTTTTATATGCGTGTTACTGCTTGGTATGGAAGATTGAGCAATTGGGGTTTATATTTGCATGAATATATATAAATATATAGATAGATATGATAAATATGATAAGTATGATAAATATAATAAATATATATATCGGAGGATATAATTGATATAAAAAAGTTGGAAGATTATTTCAAGTGAAGCCTAAAATCAAAGATGATGACGATGTTTTCGATTCGATGGATACGATAGATAAGAAAGTTTGCTTATATAAGGCGAATTGATTGGTAAGCGGGAGTGAAGATGGAAATGAAAACAGTAGGAGAGGAAGTGCCTGGGTATTGATTGCTCAATGCTCAATGGATTGAGATCAAAAGTTGATCATTATCTGTGTCTGAAGTGAAGTAGGTAGGCGATTAGAAAGATTTGGGGTCCAAAAACAATATCTGTCAAGGGGAATCCTGATCTATTATATCTACCCACTCCTTCATCTGACAAGCGCAGCTTCACGGCACAGGATCCATATTGAGAAGGTACCTTTCTACATTCAGATAGACTTGCAGGTTAAAGGGATATATATGTGTCACAATCTTCAAGGCGGTTGAGTCTGATTTAGGGAATTCTCATGTTACTAAACTGTGTCTCCTCCCGTATGTTTTGGATGCCTTCTTTTGCCTTGGATGAATATAGATAGAAGTGCGGACACCGTATGTGTGGGGGTAAGAACTTGGCTGAAGGTATTAGATACTACTAGCAGGTGTCATTGTTTCACAGATATTCGTTTGTTCAGGGCGCTGTACATCTCGTCTCAGGTCCACACTCGTAAGTCTGTCCATTCCTTCACTCCAATCCATACATTAGGGATCTTGACTCTTGAGTCCGCGAGATTGAAACAGATTATTTCTGGGGAAGGAGTTCCGCTTCGTAATCTCTTGGCTGACTCTGTCTCGGGTAAGTTCATATCTTCGGTCAAGCGGTAGTGCTTCTCGACTTCATTGTTAATCGTCGAAGAATTCTCTCACGCGGGTCTACCCCTCCATTATCCATTATCCAAATTCTTTCCTTGGTGGGGTGAACTTGTGCTGCAGTTCTTGTGCTGCAGTTCTTGTGCTGCAGTTCTTGGGCTCACTGGTCAGTCATACAGAGTACAGAGGAACACAAAACATAGCCATCCGGCTGTCCCGCGTAAAAAGGGGAAGATCTTCAATGTATATTTCTCTTTCCCTGAATCAATGCAGGAAATCAAGGTATATGGAAAGTTTATTGCCATAAGGTTACCATGAATTCCGATTGAACTATGCGAAGTATCCTCTCTCTCTCTCCCATTGTACCACTTCTTCGGATACTTTCTTATCATCATTCCTTGTATATTCCCGCTATGATCCGTTCGCCTTACGAAGCTATCCAGCATCAATTTCCACTACCGCTATCTTGGCGTTTCGTCATACCTGACCTATCAGGTATCACCAATTGATAGCTTAGAGGACGTCACGTGTTCTTGGTGGGGTCAATTGACTCTTCGGATCAGGTCCGATCGATACCTCCGCTCAAGCTCCCGATTGTTTCTGTACTTTGTACTTTTCGAGTCAGGAAATTATTATTGAATCCGACATTGAGTTGGCCGTCTTGAGTTTGTCTTGTACACGATACCCTTTTTACCTATTGGAGTTATGGCTTCACCAAAATACCTGACAGGCGATCAATCTGCCATAAGTGTATTTATTGATCAATTTGATGTGCGTTGAGTCAGTCCTACAAAAGCTTTGAAGCTTGAATTGGTAGGGTGGATTAAGCTGACTTTTTACGCTCTTCAGGTCTTCTTATTTGATTGTGATGGTATATACGATAACCAGTTTCTGGAAAGAAGGATATGCTAATGTGCAAAAGGTGTTCTTTGGTCTGGAGATCATATCTTTCCAGGGACGGTCGAGACTTTGGAATTGTTGAGATCAAAAGGTGCGCTCCCCAAAATTCCATCTAATCGCGCCCCTCGGAATACACACTGTGTGTTTCTCACGGAACAAGAGCTAATCATGTATTACTCTAGGCAAAAAGGTTGTCTTCGTAACAAACAATTCCACGAAATCGAGAACCGAATATCAAAAGAAGCTCACAGCTCTCGGTATACCAAGCAATGTTGATGAAATCTTTGGTTCAGCCTACTCTTCCGCAATTTATATCTCTCGAATTCTCAAACTTCCAGCACCCAAGAATAAAGTATTTGTTTTAGGTGAAAGTGGTATCGAAACAGAATTGAAAACAGAAGGAGTGGAATTCATTGGAGGAACAGATCCAGCTTATCGTCGCGATATTACACCAGAAGATTATAAAGGCATCGCAGATGGTTCATTACTCGATGATGATGTTGGTGTAGTTTTGGCTGGCTTAGATTTTCACATCAATTATCTCAAGTTATGTCATGCTTACCATTATCTTCGTCGAGGTGCAGTATTCTTGGCTACAAATACTGATAGTACTTTACCATCAAACCATACATTCTTCCCTGGCGCTGGATCCATTTCAATTCCATTAATCAATATGATAGGGAAAGAACCAACAGCTTTAGGTAAACCAAATCAAGCAATGATGGATTCTATTGAAGGGAAATTTCAATTCGATCGTAAGAAGACATGCATGGTTGGAGATCGGTTAAATACAGACATTAAGTTTGGTATCGAAGGAAAACTTGGTGGTACATTAGCTGTTTTAACGGGGGTATCTAAGAAAGAAGAATGGGAGGCTGAAAATGCTCCTGTAGTACCTGCGTACTATGTTGATAAATTGAGTGATTTGAGGGGTTGAGATAGGGACAATTGTGGAGTGATGGAGTGATGGAGGGGTAAATTATATGCAATATTACAACATGGAAGTAACGGTATGATCAGTCCCTTACGGAGTAGAATAGAAGATCAATAGAAGCCATGAAATAAGGCAGATGGATAGTTGAATGATTGGAAGAGAAGAAAATCGGTGTTAAAGAGAGGGGTTCGGATAAAATGACTAGTCAGGGAAACACGTGTGACTTTGTGGTAAATCTAGCCCCTCTCCCCTCTCTTAAACGATAGAAATAGAATCATTACCGAGCGATGGCAACCAACTTTCTATATGTGTAAGGGTGGTATTGATCGACAGACTTTGTTTTTCTTGTGACTGTCGTATTGGATTGTTATCGAATGATTTGATGGAATGATATGAGGTGGCTTGGTGGTGGCTTCGGGTAGGTACCTAGGTGTTACTAGTGTGGTATAGTGTTACAGGGGAGAAGTGGAAAAGCAGAATAGGGGTCTTGTCTTGTCTTGTCTCGCTTTAGTCCACCTTATGAAGGACCCTACATACATTGGTATATACATACGGAGATGGTACCTAGACATGGAGATGTATTCGTACAGGCTTATAAATCATAGGCTCTGGATTATAAATTTTAGATTCTGGATTTTAAATTGTAAATGACAATCGAGCGCAGCGAGGATGGGGGTTTGGGGGCTTGCCCCCATGGTATGGGATTTGCTATGGAGGGATTCTGTGGAGGCGTTTTGTAGTGGAGTGTTAGATATTTGTGGATTTTTGAGAGAGTGATGTAGAATGAGAGAATGAGAATGAGAATGAGAGGGAATGACGCTCCGCTGGGCCACTGCCGTGGAGGCTGTTTTCGCTTCGCTCTGGTAACTCTTTGCATATGATATAGATAGAAGCGAGCCTGGGTAGATCCATATATTGTCTTGAGATGATCTCAGTATAAAGACCCTACATGCACATCCAACGGGGCTAGGGGACTGCCCACGTACTCCGCAGGAAAATAAAACAAAAAATTGTAAGACTTCCAGGTTCAATTTGGTGTTTCTATTCGATAATAAACTAACCGGAGCATATCCTCCGGCTTTGAATGTGTAAATTTCCCTAGTTTCGGTAATCGTACTGATTTGGGAGGGGCGGCAGGGCTAAGGTGAAAGGCGAGAGTAGGGGTCCTACAGGGCGGATGGATGACTGGGTGTGTGAAATCCTTGACAAAAACCAAATCTCCTCAAAAACCAATACCCCCACCATGACTTCTTCTGCACCACAATATAGTCCCAAAAAAAGACGACTCGTGCAACCTTTTAATTTGGATAGACCACTCTCATACTTCTCTTATCCTAAGGATCATGCCCAATTCCATTGCACCATGGATGGAGACAGCGACTTGGAGGATGATACCTCCATCTTTGTGGGGAGACGACATGAGTTAACTGAAAGATTGGAGGAGAATCCTTACGATTTATTAACCTATCTCGAACGAGCGAGCGTCTATAGCGATTTGGGATATCCAGATTTGGCATCGGGAGATAGTTACAAGGCTTTATTGTTATGCGATGAATTGAAGGACGAAAGTTTCGAATATCATGAACAAGCGCTCGAAGCATTTAAATCTCGACTCGCAGATGGCTTTTCGGAAAATCTTTTGAAAAGACATGTTCCTGGGTTGGCAGATACGGGAAATGTTACAGAGACCATTGAGAGAAGTGGAATCGAGAGGTTGAATTTGGATGAGGTGGATGAAGATGTGTATATGCGAATCGCAGATAAGGCTGCATTACGATGTTATCAAAATCTCTCATTAAGTCTTCTGTTATGCGGATGCTTAAAGAGTGCTTATGATTTTTGTAGCAGAGGATTAAAAGTCGCCCCTGATGATGAGGAATTGAGTCAAGTGAAGGATTATATTTTCAATATGGCGAAGAGGAGGTTGAAAACCGACGAGGTGGATATTTCCGAATTACCAGATCAAGGCTTAGTACGACGCGAAATCTATCCTTGGAATGACCACGAACCCAATCGTTTCTCGGAAGAATCTCTCGACTTTTTAAATCAGGAATTGCAAGCTATCTCTTCAAAGGTCGAGGTTAGAGCTGTTGAATTGCCTACATTGGTGGAAGCTGCGATTTCTCAAGAGGAAGATGGACATATACCTACAAACAAACAATTGGGGTTATTCGCAACCAATGATATTCAACCCGGCGAAACTGTCCTCGAAGAAACTTCTGTTTTAACAGTTAATAATCGTTTGAAAGATGCCCTTTGCGATGCCTGCAGTACTGTATTACCTCCATTGGGTAAGAATAGCACAGTAGTAGGATGTCCTGATTGTTACGATATTATGTTTTGTAATGAAACCTGTCTCAATCTCGCCTTGGAAACATACCATCCAGCTATTTGCGAAAAAGATGTCGATACCATCTCCAAAGATCCAGATCCGAAAGAATCACCAAACGCCCTCTATCTTCTCCTTTTGGCTCGCGCATTAGCCATGTCGGCAACTCAAGAAGTTCATCCTCTCGATTTGAAAGAAGTTAAATTTATTTGGGGAGATTTTCTCGATTCAGCTAGTAATGCGGTTCCTATTTCTCCTAAATCAGAGCCACCTCCTGTCTGGACTCTTCCATTTTCTTTCTCGTCAAATATCGCAACTCCTCTTCATATCCTTGAGAAAATGGATATTGACATTTTTGCCGAAATCGCAAATTATGATCTTTGGATTTTAAATACTTTGTATAGTAAATTTAGGGGTACAGCATCAGCGAGAGTAAATACGTCAACGGGGATGCCGGAAGTTGCGGCTGTTCATCCTCTTTGGTGTTTGGCAAATCATGATTGTGATCCAAATGTACAATGGGAATGGGGAGGAAGAATGAAATTGTGGTGTAGGGAGAAGAGAATTAATGGGAAGGGTGGCGTGAAGAAGGGAGAAGAGATTTGGAATCATTATTGTGATATTGAATTGCCGGTTCAAGAGAGGAGAGAGTGGGCAGAGGGGAGTTTGGGGGGTTGGTGTATGTGTGAGAGGTGTAGGAGGGAGTCGGGTGAGATTTATGGCGAGGGAGAGAATTATGGGGAGAGAGAGAATTACGGGGAGAAAAGGTTAAATGTATTTGTGGATGTGGGGGAGAATTCGCTTACACCTACTGGTGTGGAGGTGGATGGAAAGATTGTGGAAAATGGATATGTGGATGTGAAGATGCCATTGTCTGGAGAGGAAGATGTGGTGTCAAATGGAGGTAAAAGAGTAACTGAATAGTTGAGCAGACGGGAAGCTGATTGGATAAAATAAAGGGAAGTGGAAAACAGACCCGTATGAATTAATATGGGTGGATATATGATCATTGAGAAAGCGAAAAGTGGTTGATTTGGATGTATTTATGGAAGGGTGGAGGAATGATTATTCTATGTGGAGATATGGAAAGGAAGGGAAGATTAGAATTTCGAGATAGATAAAATGAGATGGTTTTAGTGTAAGATTTGGGGAGAATTATGCATGTTATTTGATCTCATTTTGGGTGCTGGGTAGGAGTGGGGAGAGGAAAGAGGGAGTGCTGTGGATAGTGGCTTGGTGGTGAGTAATATGGCATCTGAGCAGTCTTCATTATTTGAGTGTTTGAGTCGTGTTTAAACTTTAGAGCCCTGATAATCAGTCGTGGGAGTTGGTGTGGGAGTTGGAAAATAGGATGTATTATTATCGAGTGTAAATGGTAAATGGAAACTTGACAGATTGGTGGGGATGAAGAGGTGGGATTTTAGATGGTATGGAGAAGTGAAGGGTACGAAGGATTGGGAAGGTGAGATGTGGTGGAGATGGGGTTGAGTTGGAGAGTGAGAAGGGTGGGGAGGGGGAGTGAGTAGATTGAGAGTAAGGGAGATGGAGTGATGGGGGGGATGGGGGAGTGGAGTGGAATGGGGGAGTGAGGGAGTGAGGAGATGGAGGAGTGGAGTGGAATGGGGGAGTGGATATTGAAGGTGGTGTAGATATGTGATTGAATTTAGATGGTTGAATGGGTGTATGACTTGTATACAGAATCTAGAGGAATATGGATGGTGGGATTTGGGAGTGAGGGTTGATGAGCTATTTTTTCTGATTCGGTGTTGATGTTTTTTGTAGTGATGTTATGGTACTGTAGGTGGGGCCGAGAGGGGGAGGTGTTCTCAGGGCATAAGTGTTTGAGCGGGGAGGAGTTGGAGGGCCTGGTCGTGGGAGATGATAGAAGAGAAAGCAGAGGGCAGCTGGCCTGGCTGTGGAGTAAGATTGGGAGGAAGATTGGGAGAGGAGAGTGGGAAGGGTGTGATGAGAGGGGGGTGATAGGGAGGTGATAGGGAGGTGATAGGTGATAAGGAGACAGATTGGGTGGGGAGGGTAGGAAGGGTAAAGAGGATGATGGGAAATGAGGAGGATGGGGATTGAAAGGAAAGGAAAATCATGAGGACAGGAACTTAGATTGTGTCAAAATAAATCGGGGTTGGTGTTAATTCTTGATAACGGAAGCGATGGGTGGGTAGTGTAGATTAGTATGGACAGGGTAGGGATAAAGAGTGAAGAAGGAGGGATGGTTGAGTTGATCCAATAACCAAGCGGTGCGTACATATGCTGATCTCCTTCCTTACTAATTTGCCGATGGTAGAAAGATAAATAGATAGATAGAGGTGGATGGGCATTCGGTCCTTGGAGTGAACGCCTAGTAGACAACAAGCAGAAAATGCGAATGAAAGATCACATTTCACGAAGCAAAGGCAACAGGTTAATGATTGGATGGTTGTTTATTTTTGGTATCTATCTATGATTTTATCTATTCCAAGTACAACAAAAATCGGAAGCCAACTCAACGTTCAAGTTGCGTTCGTTGATTCTGAAACCAAATTATAGAGAAGGTAATGGAGGATCTAATCATGAGAAATAATGGGAATAATGGTGACTTGACTAGGAGCTTCGATCCACAGGCAGGAGGAGGGAATTCAGTGGGTAGGATACCGAGTGTTTCTTGAAAAGAAGGGCTGAGTTGGTCTTGATTCGATGGAGGTGGTGTACTGGAGAGATTGAGAGGTAATTCGTGAAGAGTATTAAGGCATAAGGAAATTAGGTAGTTGTAATAAGTGGATGCGTGTTGAGACCGCCGTCTAAAGCCGGGCAAATGCGGGGTATTGTTGGGGATAAGCGAGGTGTGGAGAATTTGCGAAGAGGGATAAGAGGGAGCAGGATAGTTACGCGGGTTGTGATGGAACGGCGTCGTTGATTAACGAGGAGCAGGGCCACGGCGGGAGTTGCGTTGTCGTGTAAGAGGAGGTGGAGGTGGAGGACGCGTTTGATGAACGACTTCATACTCTGCAACTTCTATGAATCTATTACACATTTGGCAAACATCTACACCTTCGTTCACTTTGTCACAAGATTCCCACCGGACCTAAATTGAAAGCATACATCAGTCTTGGTGGAATGTTTACCTATTCGGTGGATACGTACTGTTGATGGAAAGATGTTCGGATCTGACCAGAAGTCCACCATGCGTTTACACCTCCATGCCCAAGGTAGGGGAGGTTCAGCGTCATTATTGTTTGGAACTGGTCGGGGTGCGCTGTTTTGCTGTGATGAAGAAGACATTATGGAGTATTCGATATTTCGGATGCAAAGTTCCTCAAATTGGATAGAGAAGAAGAAAAATATCGGAAAGGGGAGAGAGCAGTGATATTTAAGTCTATTTTCTCCCAGATGAGAGCTCGAAAATGAGTGTTCTCCATACAAGTTTGGGAGTCAAAGAGTGAGAATTCGAGGTATTTTCCAGCCATTCAATGGCTCTTATGACATATTTGAAGCAAAATAATACATATTCAAGGATATGACGGTTCATTTGAGGATCGAATATGGATAGATAGTCAGAAATGATTATAATGTAGGCAAGTTCTGGTATTTCGGACTTACGATTAATGTTTTGACTGTTAGAAATCAAATCATGTCTATTGAACTAATCATTTCCTACTCAAAATGATGGTTTTGATGTCTGGTAGTGACTTTACATTGGTGTAGGCGTGTGTTTTGGGACTCATAATGTTCATTATGAATCTGGAGAATAGATTTTAGTCAACTGTGGAATTATTTTGAATGACTGGCTACGAGTACAGAGTCATGATATAGTTGAGTCTGGCTACAAATAGATACTTGGCGAATATCACCACTTGTATGACTATAATCATCTGTTCAGTCATCTCAAGGTTATTGTTTTCTACATAAATGGGTTCAGCATGACTGGAAGGTAGTAGTGGCTTGACTTCTACTTGGAACTCATATATGTTCCCGTGAGCCTGGAGTTTGGAAGATAAACATTGATCATGGTAGTATTTATCTTGACTCCTTGATGACTTATACAGAAGTGGATAGCTGGATGAATTCTGTAGGTGGTGTAGATACATGATTTGGATTGGATTTGAATTTGGATCGGTGGATGATCTGTATACACTGTACAGAGGATTTTATCATTGGGGTAGTGGAAGTGATGATTGTTGATTATTATGTGGTAATATTGTGGTGATGATGTTTTTGAAACCTATCTTTGATCCTCATTTGTTGTTAACTATTTGTTTCTAATGGGTGTTTTTGATCCTTGATTGGGCGATAGTTCTTGGATTTTCATTTGCTTTGATATATACAGTTTGCTCTTCTCCCAATTTCTCATGTTGAGCCTTGTTGGCAGCTGGCAACGTTTTCCATCAAGTACCTATATCCTGCTTGAATGCTTCTATAGCTTCAACATCTGTCATTGGTTTTGTGGCAGAAGCCAATCTGGTAAACTCCTTATACTCAGGAGAAAACTCCCCAAGCAAAAACCATTCTAGACAAGTAGTCAATGGAACTCGATGTGTTACACGACTTGTAGATGTGAAGACCCAAGCCCAGAACTCCACAAATTTCTCGCATCTGGCAAGCAATTCCAATCCATTTATAGGATCCTTCTCAAATGTATCCAAATCCGCTGGTTCCGGCCACAAGCGAAACAGATTTAGGTTTTGAATATCACTTTTGACTCTAACATTCAATTTATGCTCAACTTTTATGATCTGTGCGCCATCCTCAGCAGACCAGTAATTCTTGCACTCCCAAGTAGGTGAAGCTTATGTCGAGAATTGTTGGATCTTACCACCGGGTCTCATTGGCAGCAATTTGTTTTGCTTGCTATACATTGCCTCACGTTTAGCCGCTATTGGAAGATTCTTTTTATGCGCCTCTTCCATTCTATGCCAAGCGGCAGGACCCATCTTGGCTTTTAATGCTTCATGCCTTGGTAAGATCCGCTTTTCTCTATCCGTCAATTGTTTTTCCTCGGGAGAGGGGGAGTTTTTGCTGCTTGATCTCTATGACTGACGCCGTCAACCACCTTTGTTGTATTAGAATCGACTGGATCTCTGGCTTCTTGGGTATCGTTTTTCTTTTCGACGGTAGTAGTGGCAGATTTTTCCGTATTTTTACCGTCGTTGGATACGGAAACATCGTTTTTCTTGGGCTCAGCCGTAAACTTTGCATTTTTGGTAGCATCTCTCTTATCCGTGGGGTCATCGCCGACTATGAATTGATAGTATCTTGTCTTATAGATGGAAAAATGAATGTTGATGATACCTACAGAGCTTCTTGTAGACGGTGCGCTCAATTGCCTGGAGCTTTTCTTGCTCGGGCAAAAGCGCAATCGTCTCATCGTTTTGGGCATCCTTGAACGCGTATCGATATACCATGTTCGATCTGCCTTCTTCATACAATCTATTAAGCATTTCTGGTTGTCTCGAATTGTAATTCGCCATCTTCGTCGACTTCTTCAGTTGCGAGTTTGTTGTTGTGTTGAGAAAAAAAGTCAAAGGTGAAGATATTGGTGACCTTGCAAAACTGAACTTTGGATCATGTGTGTGCTACCTTCCGGTCAGTAAGCTGGTCAAGTATGTTTCCAATGGTCTGTATATGAACAGTTTGATCTATGTTCTCACTTTGCATGCTCGAGTGAATATGCTTAAATATCAGGCTCAAATTGGACTATTTAGGTGAATAATGATAAGGCTAATAGTAGCAAATAATGCGAATAACCACAACAATCGAATTGCTGACAGAGCGGTACGGGAAAAGATACTCAACAGATGAATGAGGTATGATTTTTTTGATAAGTGTGCGATGACGTTGATGCTAGGCTTGTAAATCAACGAACCTTGCTCATGACGGTGATGAGTGGAACCACCACCTCACCCCCCTTCAAAACCGTGTAATTCTCACACATCTGTTCTCAAAGGACTACTTTGAGTCTCTGATATGAAGCCATAGTCAAAATCTCGGGAATCTTCCCACAAACTACTCGTTCTACAAAACATCAGGGGGTTTGGAACCCGGCACAATGTCGAACTTGTGTAGGAATAATGTACCTATAGTACATCGAAGCTGATACTCAATGTGAATTCCATCGTCAAGCCTGGACTCAATACTGGAAAGACTCTTGGATCAAGTATCATTTACCTGGAAGGCTGATGATGTGAACAAAACGTTGTAAAGAAGTTCGGCTACGTCGGTAATTTCTCGGTAAGTTTGCCCCACCGCGGGGTAATCGTCTATCTCTCTCCCAGATTGATAACGTTCTACATTCATCTTGACATGAAAAGGATACCACATTGACAAACAACTCTCTATATATAAATATACCATAGATCACTATGTCCTCCTCTCATTCTCCCAAGAAGCTTGTACTCAAAGGAACTCCAAAAGAGGTAGAATCTCTCTCTCCTCGCACCTCTCTCAAACATCCCCCACTTTCACCTGATAAGCATCTCACAACATTGTTTAGATAGGATTTGAACATGGCAAACTTCTATCTTCTGAGATCAAACATCAGATGAGGATTTATGACGCAATGTTTCAGTCTACTTCCTCATTAACATGGCCCGAAGTCCATGAGATTGCCAAGGAATTTCAAACTACAATCCAGAAGCTAACACCAGATATCTATGATGAAATGGTGGGTATTGCCGAGGGTGCAGGTGTTGATATTTTAGATATTGTGGCACTTAATTGTAGGAGTGAAATTGCTTTGGGGAGATTTACAGATGGGTGTACGAGTTTAGGTTGGAAGATGAAAGGGAAGGATGTAGAAGGGAAGATGGTATTGGCACAAAATTGGGACTGGACTGAGAATGTTCAGAAAAATTTAGCGATGGTGGAAATAGAAAGAAAGGGGAAAGAGAAGATTTGGATGGTGACTGAGGTATGTTATCCTTTTATTTTCGAAAATCCTGGCAGTAAGATAACATAACACAGGCAGGGATAGTAGGCAAAATTGGCTTCAATTCCGCTGGCGTCGGCGTATGTCTTAACGCCATTAGAGCCCGTCCAACACATACTTATAAGCTTCCAATCCACGTTGCACTCCGCATTTGTTTAGAAAGTGAGAGTGTGGAAAAGGCTATCGCATCAATCGAGGAATTAGGTGGTGTGGCTTCGAGTCAACACATCCTTATAGCAGATCCCAACAGAACGTTGAGTATGGAGCTTTCGCCTGTAGGAAACTGTTTCTTGGAGCCATGTGATGATGGGTTTGTCGCACATACAAATCATTTTATCAAGAATGAATTGGTTAGCGAGCCATTTTGGCTCAAAGGAAGTCCGGTGAGACTTGAGAGGGCCAACGTTCTGGTCAGTGAATTAATTAAGGATATGAGGAATGACTTGGAGATTAATGACGGAATTGGGGGTATTTTGAGAAAAAGATTGTTCTCAGATACTTTCAATGCACCGCAAGCGATCTGTTGCCAAGAAGATCCAGAACGTCCAAAGGAGACAAGAAATAGTACGCTGTTCAATATTGTAATGAGACTGGAAGCGGGTAGCTCGACGGCTGAAGTTTTATTCGGAAAGCCTGGGATGACTGATGGAGAGGTGCTGAAGATGCCATGGATTTGAGGATGGTCTAAATCTGATCTTGAGTTGATATTTCTCTGCAAGTTGGGGAAGCTAGCGCAGGGTTCTCAATCGTCCGATTCTCACTGTCTGAAAGAAGTATGACATCCAAAGAAAATTTAGAATCTCAAAGCCAATAAATGTGCTAATTTTCTTGGAGTTGAGAGTCTGTAATTGTTTGAATATATTCAACAGTGGCAGACTGGGTATAAATCTTAAAGCAGCATAATATCCAAAACAATTAAACATTCTAGAGTCATTGAATGCTAGACTCATATTCATAGACTGAAAGCTTCTAATTGCCTAACTACAGGCTGAACTATTAGAGACCTGTAGCTAATGTAGAATAGCTTTATTTAGAATTTGACTCTAAGTTTGCATTGTGCTCACACTTAAAGCATCTTCATTAACAAGCTGCCTTGTCCCGGATGGGAAATTTGTATTAGAGTCCAGTTACAAAGAGTCATAAGATAGAGTCAATCAAAGTGACATGCATGCCTGGTTGAAGATTTCCAAAAAATAGCGTTATTGAATTCGAAGTTCGCCGAACCTATTTACTGACCTCTAGCTCCTGTTATATCCTACTATGCAGTTAAACAATTCATAGCCCAAGCCCAGTAAACAATTCGTGCAATTTTAGTCATTAAATCTTTCTGCGGCACAAATCCAAATTTAGAAGGCTCCAAGTAGCTGTCAATCTGAATGGTCATCCCTACAAGCCTTATTTGAGACCTGGAAGATGACGACTTAGTCTCTCATACCTGTAGCTCTTCGAATTGCGATATCTCGGCCTTAAATCAAGACAAACAAGAGACCTGGTCATCCCTATCATGTCCTCCTCTGTCCCACATGTTAAAACGTGATTTCTAAGAAATACTTAGTAATTGTCCATAATTTGTCCAGCACTTCGGGTGAACCTGAGTTGAGATGCCAATACTATATCTCTGCACATATCGGATATAAAAATCACTTGAAATCCATACACTTCTAACAATTACCCCAGACATAAATCAAAAATCTTACCGAAGAGCTATTTTTAGCGAAAATACAGTCCACTTCTTGGTCGTAGTGGTTCGAGCTTCTATATCCTTTTCGCCACGGACCATTCCTACGTACAGCCCGGTCGGATCCCTATTGACCAGCCAAACTGATCAGGAGTATCTCTCAATTCGGGCAGAACCCAACAAATTCTCGAAGCTAAGGGGAAGTTCGATGAAGCTACAGTAGCTGATTGATTGAACTATGACCACTGTCAAGGATAAACTTGATCAGTCTGGAAACACTGATCAAAACTTGCCTGTTCTCATCCAACTCTTGAAGAAACCATGAATCAAAGTCACTTTGTAAGTCTCGGCATTTCTCACCTTTAGGTAATCAATCTTTAGCTGATTGCTTGTATGTCTCACACCTTTATCTTGACTTCATCTCTTTTCATCGTTCCAATTTACAAAACGCAATCGAACTTGTCTGCAATCTCCAGTTTTGAGGTCGAAGATAAGTCTGAATCTCAAAGCTAGAAGAGTTTCCCAGTGCGCCGTTGCCAAGAAGGCAATCTGGGAGAATCGGCTTCAGAGCATGCTAGTGCCTGTGGCCAGCATACTTCCAAACTCATGATAATAAGAGAAAGAATCGATGGCCCTTCCCTCCGCGCCGGCTAATTGGTCGCACTCTATATCCTTATTATATCCCGAGAACTGTCAGTGGTACTAGAAACAGTTTACTATGGCATAAAATCGCTATAATATCAAAGCTTCCGTCAAATCAAACTTGAGCCTAGACTTAGACCTAGAAAAATGTGCGTCTTGGGCCACTGAGATACGGTACAGGTCATTGGCCTGGAAATACACGATCAAATTGTAATCTACCTTGCGAAAGAGCGAAATCTTGGGTTTCATCAAATCAGAACGCGCGGCACAAAAGAACGAACATATCAACAGACAAATTTTGATCATTTTGCAAAACGCTCATCAGTGATTGATTCAGAGACTTAGTACAATCAATTGAACCTCAGCCCTGCTACCCTTGACCTATCATCGAGAAATCATTTCTTGGCATCGGACTTCATACCTGCTTGAATCCATTCTCTACCTTTCTCTGCCGCAGCCTTCATTTTTGCCTCACGGTCAGGGTCTTTCTTCAAGGCTCCGATATTGTGTGGCTCTGGTACATGACGACCCTTTTCAACTGCAGGTCTCTTTTCCATTCTTTCATCCCATGCCTTTAGAGCTGGGAATTCCTCGATATCAACTCCACTGTAAAAGGCAGCAGTGACCCAACCCCAGTGAGCAATATCAGCGATTGTACATCTGTCACCAACCACTAAAGTATCATGTTAATGATATTTCTTTGAAATGAGTCGGGGTATATGGGAGTGCCCCTAGCCATATTGAACAACCAAGTTGCAAGATATGCACCAGGTAACTGATCACGAAGTAAAAATCGAGGAATCAATTGTACTTACAATAACCAGAGGTTGACTTTTCTAAATGGGTGTTGAGAACAGAATACAAGCGCCTGGTCTCATTTGTATAACGATTGATACCATACTCAATCCTCTCCGGGGCGTATTTTGAGAAATGGTTGGCTTGACCTTGCATGGGACCCACACCAGCATTGAGGAAGAAGAGCTAGTTATCATGTCAGTTTGTTGCGTCTTAGGTCTGGAAATATCGAGTAACTCACCCAGTTGTTGACTTCATAGTACTCCCTTGTACCCTTTGGGTACGAGATCTTATGCTCGGTATCATATCTGTCGACGAGATACTGTTGAATGCTACCACTTTCAAACAGATTAATCTTCTTTCCGTCCGTGAATGTATCGGTCAAAGCGGGGATTCGCCCATTAGGATTTATCTCAAGGAACCATGGCTCTTTTTGGGTGTTCTTGGAGATATCAATCTTGTGTACTTCGTAGGAGAGACCAAGTTCCTCCAAAGTGATAGATATCTTGATTCCATTAGGAGTTTGGGTTGTGTAGAGATGAATGTCTGATTGGGAAGCCATTTTGGGAGTGATATGAGAATGTAACTGTGTAAGACGGTCGTTCATAGATATGAAATTGCAAATGGGAATGAGTGAGATATATAAAGAATTCTTGGATTTTTGATTTGTAATATATCTGCATTTGAATATCACACATATGTGTAACTTCCCTCCGCTTTACCCCACCTACCTAGGTAGCTTACGATGATGCGATCTACGGAATTAAATGTTAATACTGCTGATCCATTTATCTTACCAAGCTGAAATTAAAAACGGCTGTTAGGAGGGAGGCTTGGCGGAAGATGCCGAACGTGGTAGTTTTTCAACAACACATGACTATTTGGCAGATCAAGTTCCCTTTGTATGATGTATAATGTTACCAGAAATAATAAAGAAGTCCTCCTGCTGCCATCTTTGTCGTCAGATCTGAACGCGACATTCTCCAGATAGTATTGGTTGACAGCCTCTTGTTGGAGAATGTCCTGTATCACGTGCCTGTCATACTAGAGCCAATCAACACTAGCTCGGCCGGCTAAAGTGCTTACTCGGTAGATTCCAGACTTACAATAATATACAATCTTTCTTCTAATCTTCCACACAACCTACAACAATATCAAAAGTAACAACCATCGATATTTAATACACTCGCCAGAACATCATGGCGTGGAGACAGCAAGGAAGCACTGGATCGAACAACATTCCTTTGGGAAATCGACGACGCTTCCCTGGCGATGGCGGATCTGGTCAAGAGGAAAGCTATAGCCCAGCTCCATCTTCCAATACTCATTCTTCCAACAATCACCAAGATTCAGGTATCAAGCGTGGAAGAAGTCCAACTGTGAAGTGTGAGTTTACAATGCCTAATATCGCAATCGATCAGTCTTAACATTTTCTAGCCGAAGAACCTGCAGGCGATGGATCTCGACGTCGCAAGAAGAGAAATCGTTGGGGTGATGCTACTGAGAATAAGGCTGCAGGTCTCATGGGACTTCCAACTGCAATTATGGCGAACATGACAAGTGAACAACTTGAAGCTTATACCTTACATTTCCGTATCGACGAAATTACACAAAAATTAAGAATCGATGATGTTGTTCCAGCGGATGGCGACAGGTAAGGAAGCTCTTTCTATGTGTGCTTAACAATAACTAATTATTTCTTCTGCAGATCTCCTTCGCCCGCCCCTCAATACGATAACTTCGGTCGCCGTGTCAACACTCGAGAATACAGATACAGAAAGAGGCTCGAAGACGAGCGACACAAATTGATTGATAAGGCTATGAAAGTTATTCCTAACTATCATCCACCACAAGACTATCGCCGTCCTACTAAGACTCAAGAGAAAGTCTATGTGCCAGTCAATGACTACCCGGAAATTAACTTCAGTATGATTGCTAACCCTCTAACCTTTCTAACCTTATTCTCCCTTCCATATCCGTTTTCATTTATCGTGTGACAGTAGATGCAGCATTTGGAAGACAAATGCATAGCACCGTCATCACTAACTTGTCGTACTCACTGCCATTTTGCTCAAAGCTTTTGATCCTATACTAACACTTAGCTTGCGCTTTACTAAAGTTGGTTTACTTATCGGACCTCGTGGCAACACATTAAAGAAAATGGAGACAGAATCTCAAGCTAAAATTGCTATCCGTGGAAAAGGATCCGTCAAGGAAGGAAAGGGTCGCTCCGATGCAGCCCACACCAGCAACCAGGAGGAGGATCTTCATTGTTTGATCATGGCAGATACAGAAGAGAAGGTCGAAAAAGCAAAGAAGTTGATTCACAACATCATTGAAACAGTAAGTTTTCAATACTCTCATCTGCTATCGTTTTTCAAATACTAATCCACAACAGGCCGCCTCTATTCCAGAAGGTCAAAATGAGCTCAAGCGTAACCAACTCCGTGAACTCGCTGCTCTCAACGGTACGCTTCGTGATGACGAGAACCAAGCTTGTCAAAATTGTGGTGAAATTGGCCACAGAAAATACGATTGTCCACAACAACGCAACTTCACCGCCAACATTATCTGTCGCGTTTGTGGTAATGCTGGACACATGGCTAGAGATTGTCCAGATAGACCTCGTGGTGCCAATTGGCGTAATGATGGCCCTGCAGGTCCAAATGCTGTACCAGGTCAAGGTCGTATTGGCGCAGGCGATGCTGTTGACCGTGAATATGAGGTAAGCATAAACTCCATCTTGACTTCTCTACTATCAGATATTAACAACTTTGTCTTAGCAACTTATGCAAGAACTTTCTGGTGGTGCCCCAGCTGCTACAGATGCTCCTCGTCGTATCGAATCTGGTCCTTCAGGTTATGATCAAGGTCCACCAAAGGATCAAGAAGATGTCAAACCATGGCAACGAGGTCCATCAAATGCTCCTGCTCCATGGCAAAGAGGAAATGATGGACGTGATGGGCGTGATAACCGCGATCCTCGTGATTCTCGCGACTCTGCGCCTTCTGGTCCTGCTCCATGGGCCAAACGAGGAGGTGATGATAGAGATAGAGGAGGTTACCAGAATGGATACAACGCTCCACCATCTGCTCCTTGGGCAAAGCAATCTCAAGCGCCAGCTGCACCAACTGGTCCTGCTGCTTATCCTGGTCAAAATGGTTATGCCCCTGGATATGGTAGCTATCCTACTCAACAACCTCCAATGGGTGCTCCTCCTGGTCTCAGTAGTATGCCAGGACCCCCAGGCCTTAGCAGTGCCAGCATCAATGCTCTCCTTCAACAATATGCCAATGCTCCTCCTCCACCACCTCCATCGAATTCTGCCCCTCCACCACCTCCACCTGGAAGTGCTCCTCCTCCTCCACCACCAAGCGATCAGCCACCACCACCACCTCCTCCAGGAAACTAACCATCGTCTTCTCACGTAATCAATAAGATTATTTTCAACTACTTTTCAGCCGGCGTGCAAAAACAAACAATCACTACGCCAGGTTTGAAGCCCATTCAGGAAGGATACTAACCTAGGGATTTCTTTATCCATACACACAAGGCTTCTTTGTATTGACAAAGACAATGTTGATTATTGGGCTGTTTTTTCGAGTCCGTTTACCTTAATTTTTTCTTTTGATTAGTGCCTTGCTGCTAGTGTAACCATAGGAAATAAATTATTTATGAATATCTCTGGCTTCTATGATTAATGTGTATGATGTGATGTAACTTCTTTCAAATCATCTGTCGAGTGACCACCTCCTTCGTAATCCCCTAGTATCATGGCAAATTTGATATTGTTACATTCATCCACCTGTGGAGTCATTGTGATCCGATTCTGCAAAGCCACAACTCAACTTCTCAACTACCCCAAGAGGTAAGATCTTCTGATTCCACCGGACATTGTTTACAAATTCATTTGGACAAAAACTGCTTTTCACGCCCCTCTTCGCCCCTTCTTTCCACCTTGTGGGTCGCTCACTCTAAGACTCTTTCTACTCGAGAATTTCGCTGTCGCGTCATTCATTCCGCGGTCCCCATCATGGAAAATGGGTTACCTGATAACTCTTTTCTATTCCCATACTCCCATCTAGTATCGTGAGGCGAAAGCTCCCATGCATGTTAAAGAAGCTGCACGAAAACTTCCAAAAGGCTGCACAATTTCACTTCATGGTAACTTTCAAGCACAACGCAAAAGCTCTCTTTTACATGCGAGGCTTGGGTTGTCAAATATTGCTGTGTCTTGGGTCTTTGGAACAATCGGGTTTCTTCGTGGCATTGAATATGGAAGATTCAATGCAATTCCCAGGTGGATGAACCTGCCATTGAGTTGGATCTTACAAGTGAATTGAATTTTTGATTGAATGGAGATTCTGGCTGGACATATGGTTCCTCTATTTTACAGAAGAATTTCATACAGTGACCAAAGAATTGGAAAAGTGTACATTAAATTGTGTTCCTAAACTACTTACTATTTTGCATAGGAAGGAACCCTACACCAAAAACTCCACCAAAAGTACAAACTTAAAAAGGACATGCAAATTACACAACAGATAACAAACCTAACCCTTCGATCTCTTGGTTTTCTTCACCTTATCTGATTGTTTGCCAGAGAGTGGTAAAGCCCTCTTCAAACTCTTCTTCCCTTCAGTTGTATCCATTTCATCTCCAGCCGGCTCCAAATCTACCAAGTCATCCCAGAATTCATCCTCCTCCACTTCATCACCTTTATCCTCCTGCTCAATCTCCGGCTCCACCACATATTTCTTTTCATTAAATGTGACCCTGGGTCTTGAAGCTGGCTTTCTGCCTACAAAACTCGATTTCTGTGGTTGAGCACCATATCCCGCGATTTGATAATAGGTATCGGAATCATTTAAGTGGTCATCCCCGTCTGCCTCCATGTCAGGGTCCGAACTATCTGATGAATCTTTTTCCTCCTCCTCCTCGGGTATAGGTGGTATTCTGGGTTTTTTATTCAGTTGGCTTATGCCCCTGAACTTATTTGCCATTTTTTCCTTATGCTTCCTATCGCTTTCCTCCTTCTTCCTTTTCGCCTTTTCCCTCTTTTCTTTCCTTTCCTTCTCCTTCCTCGCCTTTCTCTCCTCTTCCGTTTCATCCGTGTCATTACTACTGCCATTTCCTGGAACTGCAATTGCTCCGGATCCGCCAGGAGGTGGAGGCGGTGGAGGTTGATTGTTATCGTGGTCGTGGTCATCTGGTTTGTCTTCCGCGTCTTTTCTGGCCTTTTCAAGAGCATCCCTCCTAGCTTTATCCGCGTCCTTTTTAGCTTGCGCAGCTTGTGCTTTCGCAAGAGCATCTGCAGCTTGCTGTGCTTCTCTTGCTGCAATATTTCTAAGTTTGGTTGCTTTAGCTTGAAGAGCAATTCTTGTCTTGATACGTTTCAATCCAAGTTTAGGTCCCTCGCCAGCCACTACATCATGTTAGTCATATATAATATGGAAAGTAAGAGTAGGAGAATAAACATACTTATGTCATGAGCAGTTTGAAGATCAGCCATCTTTTGTTTACTTCCTTCATTTTCTGCAATTGCTGCATCTCTTTGTAATTGAAGAGTTGCACTTGTTTCTTCAGCTCCTGCAAGTAAAGCTTCCAACTCAGAAATTCGAGTCTCGAGCTCCGTGATTCTTTGAGAATTATCTGGTACAAAATCTGGAGCACCTGGTTCTACCTCAACCTGTCGATCCATGAGTTCCTTCCTATGTTTTTGACAGTCTCTCAATTTGTTTTGAAGATCTGTACGTTGATTTTGAAGAGCTGCTAGAGTCTTCTTCGAAACATTAAGTTGTATTTCCATATTAAGATTCTCATTCTTGAGCCTCTTGAGATCTTCAGTTTGTCTTCTGAGCCTTTCGATATGTTGCTTGTTAATTTCATCATTAGAATCGTGCGATGTAACACTTGTAGTATCTATGTCCACATCACCCTCAGCATCATCCAATTCCTTTTGATGTGCTGCTGCAGCTCTCTTTCTTTCCTCTTCTGCTTTCTGATCTCTTTCGACCTTTGCAGCTTGCAACTCTTCTTCGATTGCAGCATTCTCAAGTTCAAGCTGAGCTACTCTTTCTTTAGCAGCAGCTCCTCCATCATCATGTTGATGAAGACCTGCATACTCTTGTAGTTGTCGAAGTTGATGTTGTCCCCTTCGTTGACAAGCATCGAGTTCCGCTTCTAGATTTGTAATGGTTATTTGATCGTCATGATGATTTTTTCTACAATCGGCTAAAGTCTTCCTCAATGCTCTTAGACCTTGTGGTGAGATACCATTAGCATTTAACCTAGCTTCATCAAGCCTTGCTTGAATATCTTTGATTTGTTGCTCATGTCTTTTACTAGCATCGGAGATTTGTTCATCCAAAAGAGCAATTCTCAAGTCCCTATTCTCGAGGTCATCGAGGGCCTTAGCAAGTGGTCCATTAGCAGCAACCTCATCTGAAGTTTTTCCTTGCAATTCTGCGTTCTCCTTTGTTAAAGCGTCGATTTTTTCTTGCATAGTTGCTCTGAGTCCAATGTTAACACCGTTTAAATTAGTGATTTGTGTTCGCAGATCAGCAATTGTTGTTCGTAGGTTTGCGACGATTTCATCACTTTCTTTCTTTGCCGCAGTCCGTTGAGCCTCAGATTTTGCTATGATTTCATCATGTTCCTTCTTTATCGCAGCCACTCGAGCCTCAGATTTTGCTAAAGCCTCATCCCTCTCTTTCTTTGCCTCAGCTCGTGTATCCTGATACCATCCTAAGATTTCATTAAGTTCTTTCTCGGCCGCAACTCGTCGAGTCTCAGATCTTGCCAAGGCTTCATCATTCTCTTTCTTTGCTGCAGCTCGTTCAGCTTGAGTCTCTTGTAAAGTTTGGTGTCTTTCTTTTATTGCGTCGGCTAATTGCTTCTTGTATTTTGCAACCTCGGGATTAGCTGTCTTGGAATCTTTTTCTAATTGAATCACAAGCTTGTCAATTTGTGATTTGGCATTCTTAGACTCTGTTTCCAATTGCTCCTTGAGACGAGCTATCTCTTGTTTCTGAGCTGCATTCTCAGCTTTATCTTTTGGATCATCTGGATCATCTGGATCACCTGGATCATCGGGATCAACGTAGTTGTTTATAGACTGCCTGGCTAGCTCATTATCGATATAATGCTCGAGTGCGATAACTTTCTCTCTGAGGTCTTGTTTTTCCTGTCGGTTCTTGTTTATATCATCATCAAAATTAATCATGACCGTCAAGGATTCGATTTTCGCGTCCCTTGTAGCAATACCTTCGTGGAGATCTTTGATAGTCTCTTGACAAAGGTGCATATTCTTTTCGTGAAGCATATTTTGATCCATAAGATCTTTGAGCTGCTGTTCTAGATTTGACTTCTCTTCGTTCGAAAAAACACCAGCTCCGCTGGCTTCGACCTTTACTATCTTAGTCGCTTTCAATTCGGCTGCCTTTAAAGCTGCGTTGAGTCTATCTTTCTCGAGATTCATTTCCTGCATTTCTGATCTGTATTTTTCATGTTGCTCCCCAGCTGCCTTTCGTTCTATCATCAGCTTTCTTATCTCTCTCCGTAGATCCTCAACAACCTTATTTTTTGTGTCGATAGAGGCATTTGCAGCATTTATTTCAGCCCTGAGCTTCTTGTCCAATTCCTGCTTATTCTTGTTGTCTGGATGAAGTATAAAGTTTTTCAAGCTATTCTCTAGCTCTTTGTTTCTAGCTTCTGATCCTTCTGCATTTTCATGATAGCTATCAAAATGCCTGCATAGTTCATCAAAAGCTTGATCAGATAGCAAAACTCCAGGGCTTGGATCGTTCGAACTCGGTTTCAAACCTCTTGCCACTGCATCGATATATTCGGTTTGTTGACGGCATTGTTTTGTAAGTTCCTCCAATTTATCCCGACATTTCGTCAACTCCTTATCCAATCGTTCTATCTCCGCTGCTTCCTTTGCACAATCTTGATCGGGTGGTCGAGTACCACGAGCCATGAAGAAATCTCTCCTTTCTCTTTCCAACTTTTCCATTCTTTCAGAAACTTCTTTCAGAGCCTCCTGTGTTTTTATATACTCTTGCTGTACTCTTCGATCATAACTAGAGCCCGCATTACCATTTCCTGATACATTTTTTGCGAGTTCTACCATTTCAATAACTTCCTGAACAAGTTTGCTGAATTGCTGAGGTGTACTATGATTTCGCCTTAGATTAATGACAGGCTCTTGAGTATCTGAATCATATTCCACATCCTCAGCTTCCCTTTGACTCTCTTCCTCTCCCAAAGCTTCACGAAGAACCCTCAAAGTCGTAGTGATAGCCGCATGCCAATCCGCAACCGCTGTTCGGAATATCGCGGGATCCATATCTTGATCCGGATTATCCTTTTGAGTAGTGAAATAATACTGCGTCGCTCTTCGGAACTCCAAAATGTATTGCTCGGAACGGTTTCGTAAGCCCCGCCATACGCGACCTTTAGCTCGGTATGACATTGCTTGTTGATGTCCTGCCACTATCATCTCCCTCATCTTGATACATTGATTGCTTATGAATTGTATACCAGCATCGTCAATCGTTCGATCGTGTTCGTTTATAGCATCCACAATCACTTTCAATATAGCTGCCCATTCATCTCTTTTCATATCCAATGAAACTAGACTTCCTTGGGGTAGGCCACCGGCAATTGGAATTTCTTGCTCTTTGCGTGCTAGAATATCTTCTGTTTTCAATCTTTTCTCCTGTTCCTCTTGCCAAAAGGCATAATCTGGTTCGGCATTATCAGCCATTTTGAAGAGATTTCAACTTGGTAGCCAGCTGTGTAAAGGATTAATTCGAATTGATTTGTTGTTGAATTGGTTGGTAAAGTATACCGACAGTCCCACGAATATAGCAATCATTCACAGCTAGTATAAAATAACAGAAGCTACTTATCGAATCCATTTTTCCTTTGTGATTCTTCTGTTCTCAAACCTTGATGCAGCCAAATTTTGAAAAGACGGAAGATATCTTTGTTTTTCTTTGTCATGACAAGATCTCTTTGAACTCGCAACACATTCTTCTTCAAGAAATACAGTTGATCTTTTGATGGGAATCGTTCTAGGAATCGGAAAAATTTGATGCTTGAATGGATTGAAAGGAATATATGCTGGGGCGTCTCTATGTTGATGAAAACGGCGAAAGAGGAAAATTCGTTCAATGATACTTGGTATGATTATGGTACTGTTGGAGATGCGGATTGATGGTTATTGGAATTGTATGGTAAAGTAATTTACTTGAAACTCAAGCATTTGTGATTAATTGCTTATACGGTATTTTATTTTCCATCAGATAAATGGAGATAGAAATTGATCTAATTATCTCAATCCAAGAATTGACGCAAGAACATCACATATCACATAGGGGTAGGGTAATTCACAACATGATTAATCACCCCAATGAACTTACCAGAAGGAGTCCTTTACACCCAAAATATACTCCGAATCTAAATTTCAGATCACGCAACAGAAAATGCTTTCAAAAACTCAATAATTATTAATTCCATGGTCCTAAAGCTTTCAAAGCACCCGAAGATCAAACCACATAATTAACCTCTCATCTCCGAGACCGCGTGATCGTCCCCTATTTAACCGAATGTGAAATCTTGGAGTACAAGTTACACAAACTCGAATGCACTCCATACAGGCGCTGAACACAACTTTTACACCTTTAATCCAGATCCTTGATGTTTTCAGAACAAGTGATGAGATGCTCGTGCTCAAGGTTTGAAGCAATTTTTTGTATAGTGGCATGAGAGCGGGAGATGTGTTCGTCCGTTGTGAGTCGATGAACTTAACCCCTTTGTGTTCATTACAGGAGCATCATATGGTTACATGGTAGTATCGAATCGATAGCAGCAAAAGCTCATTATTAAGAATTCAGACAATATACAATTCGAAGTTCATATCTGATCTGGACCTCTTGAGACCGCAGGATATCTCCAACAGGTCGTACAGTTACAAGTGAAACGAGATTGAGTTTTTTTAAATCACTACTACTCAATGACTGAAGCTCTGGAAGAATATCTGGCAGAAACCTTGGAAGATTTCCTCGATATTTCATGATGATGGAAGTACTTGTGCTGGTGAGATTTTATCTTTCAGTACTGATTTGATGGGCCAAAAAAACATTCTTGACACATTTAGTTAGTGCATACCAGATATATATAAGGGTAAAAGAGAAATAGTCAGGTCCATCAGTGAGTGCATGGATTGACGGAACACTTTCTAACTATTGAAATTTTAACGAATTTATTCCTCGATTGTTTGATATTACAATATATAGTTTGATTATCTTATATCAAATGAATAATTGTAAGAATCTCTAGAATACATGAGTTAATATATCAAGAGATATTCACAAGTCTATTGTGTAGTGTTCTGTTAATCTGTACACCCACTAGTGATTTCAATTAGTCTCCAATATATCAACAAATAACAAAACTACAAAACACCTCTTCTCCCATCTACAAACCTCCTCCCCTCCTCCCCTCCCAAACCCACTCCAAAGCCCTGACATACCTCCCTTTATTCTCCTCCCCCATCAAATGTCCACAATGTCCCGTCTCCCCAAGCCTCTCCTTCCTAACCCCCTCTACCCCCCAAACCCCCTCCTCCCCGCCTCCTCCGCATGCTCCTCCACATCCTCCCAGCTCACCATCCTATCCCCCTTACTAAAAACATACAATCTCCTCGCTTCCCTCCCAAAAATCTCTTCATCATTAAGATCCCTTCTAATCCTTTCTATCAAATCTATTCCCCCAAACACGTTCAACAAGATTTTATACCCCCCAAAGACTAAATATAGAAAACTCATGCACAGAAAATGCACGATCCAAAATCTCGGAAATCCAAGCGAGAATGCAGAAACCGTTGCTCTGTATCTGAATTTCCCCGGGGAAGAATCTAAAACTAACGAAACGATTGGGAGAGATCTCCCCAGCGTACGATGAAATTCGCGCGCGAGAAACGAGAGTGTGAATGCCCCGCCGTTGGAGAAGGAATGAGCGAGGATTTTGGAGTTGGCGGGGAGTTGGTACAGGCTATTGAGAGCGGGGGTGAGACGGGCGAGGGAGTTAGAGGAGGAGGAGAAAATGTGGGGAGTGGAGGTGGTAAGGAGAAGGATGGGGGTGTGTGGGTGGAGAGTGTGGTAGAGGGTTGTGTATTTGGAGATGTGTTTTGGAGAGGCGTTGAGCCAGGAGGTGAGAAGGATGAGGTCGGGGGATTTTGCGGAGGGTCTAGATTGGGGAGGAAGGGAAGAAGATGATGATATGGTGGATTCGGAAGGGTCGTGTATGTAGATACAGGGGGATAGACGTGTGAAGTCGGATAGGGTTGTCATGATGATGGTAAATGGTAATTATGGTAGAGTCAAATTCAGAATCTGAATTGTAAAGAGTCTTGAATTGAGAGGAAGCATGCAAATGATTAGTTCCATCTCGTATTTATATAGATAGCCCTCTAGGATTATCTTTCTTGGCTCAACAATTTTGTAATGTCACTAGGAAGTCTCCCATTCTTAACATAAGCGTGGAGCGGAGACGGAACGCGGGGTCTGAAATCCTTCCGAAGATGAGATTATCACCTGTTACTAGCCATAGCCAATGGGAATGTCATTATAATTGTTTGAAATATGAAGACCAAAGATACCATCAACAATATTGTGACTGTTGAATGACATATATATATACATTGGAATACTTGACCTTCAACTCATAATCCCCACAATCACCTAACCCAAGTTCAACATCGTGATTACACCATCCATCATCATCATCTACACCCTACCAATACTTCAATTAACCACATCACCACTCAACCCCTTATCCTCTCCATCTCCAATCATCACTCTTTGTTGTAATTCAAACCCAATTCCACAAACTTCTTTCCTTCTCCTAGCAAACATTCCATATAAACCCAACCAGATGGTTCTATCCCTACAATCTGTCGCTCCAAACCATTCACTCGCACCACAATCCGGCATATATCTATTCAATTCTTCTTTCGTCGCTTGAATCCAAGGTTTTGGTATTGGCCAATCTGAAAAATGCATATATTTCGCTTCTGCCAATGCCTTTTCCGCATCCCAAGTATCTTTCAAATTGCCCAAATATTCTTGATGTGATTTGCGACGGAGTTCTCCCGAGAGAAGATCGTAAGGACGAGATGGGATTGCTAAAATATTAGGTGAAAACATTGTATTCAATATATCCATATCGTCTTCATTCGGTCCCGCATGCTGTACTGCTGATTCGATTCTTTGGAAGAGGTTGGTGGAAGGATGTAATAATAATAAATGAGAGGAATATGCCCAATTGGTCGGTGGACCAAAATAAGTATATGGCATAGCGACCGGAGCAGATGGTAATAGAAACAATTCATCCATATTCCGAATATAATTCGCATCCGAATCGACATGTAAAACTCGATCATATTGGGTGAGATTGAATGCGAGAAGTTTGGTATGTGAACCTGCCCATGTTGTCTGTTCCGTATGATTCTGATGTAGAACATCCATCGGTTGCAATTTAACGTAATAATCGGTTTGTGCTTGTTTCAATAACCTGGCAATGGGCGTGAGAGGTTTGGAAGGAAGATTCGCATCGATTTCTTCAACATTCCAATGTGATGGATATAACATTAATCGTTGAGCACGACTACCGATTGTTTCGACTTGCGACCAGAGCATGAGAGCACTACAAAGATATTCAGGTGAAGTAACATATTGAACATATGCGAATTTGAACCAGTCAATCGTAGAATCCTCAACTGTAGTTACTGGACCTGGCATTGGAGGAAATACATCGCCATCATGGTTGTGAAGCAATGCATATCGAACGACCAAAAATATGAGCAAAAATATAGATGACAACTGAAAAGTAGTTGAAGATATTACGACTCGTAATCGACGAGTATAGAAGCGAAAGCCTGCCATACAGACATTTGAATATGAAAGAAGGATAACAACATCTCCATTCTTGAGATTTTTCCTTTTCCCAATTAATACCTACTCGAGCTACTGACTTGAATGTTATTGATTGTTACGGCTAAGTTGTCCGATACCATAAACACCAAGACGCTAAAAAGATTAGAATGTAAGGTTATTTCTTGGCCCCTGAGGTTAAATAGTGTGATATCTCACCGCTTTGAATCTATTATTGAGGATTTATAGAACCAAAAATCTCAATTTGAATGAATAAACGAACTGAATTGATTATTGACTGAGGAGTTTCTTTTTGAGGGTTAAATGATTATCATATGGGGGCAAGCCCCCAAACCCCCATATCCTCGCTGCGCTCGAGTTTAGGCCGTTGAGTATCAATGTCAGGGTAAATTGTATATACGATAGACGGAGCGGAGCACCCAAGTGGGATGGATGTGGCAGAACAAAGACAACGAGATTTATTGGACCATACATATTGACCCCTTTCGCACTCAAGCAATTGCGATTTGTCAATGAGTCAATCTTTGGACCGGTCTTCGGAAATCGGCACAATCAAAGTCTCCTTCATGATGATAGTTTTGTCATAAGGCTCGTAAATGATCATGATGCTATTCACAAAGTCGCTGCCAACTCCAAAGGCAACTCCCATATGGGATAGATGTCTTAGGACCCCTCGGTATGAAGATCTTAAGTGAGCCTTTCTATTGTTCCATAGTGCTGAAGTATTGAACAAATATCCCTGTTTACACATACTCTCTACTTATCGTATTCTTATCATGGCTATCAAATTCCATAATACCACCAATCTACTGAATTTCCAATTCTCAACCTCATTCACACCCGTCCCCAAAAATGCAATACACAATGACAGATCAAAATGCCGACATGAGGATCTTGCTCTGGCAAGTCTGCCATCAGACTTGCGAATCTTCTGTCTGGACAAATACTCCACATCTATGTTCACGGGAATGGAATAGCAAACATCCTTCTTCCTAAATCGTTACGCACAATCAGTTTCCTGAGATCAGAGCTGAAATCTGTGTGAATTTCCTTTGGGCTTTTCTTGTCCTTCTTGCAAATATCACAAATTCTCAAATACACAGGCTCAACAGCTCGTTACTGTCACCAAAGGAACATAGCCAGATGCGGGCACCCAAGTTTATTTGGGTTGAAGTATTTCCAAACCCAAGCCCGATCTTGGAAGAACGAGACAGTTAGACGTTATTCCTTTCGTCAAAAAATATATCCTTCAATTTCCGCTACACACCGTGATTCCCACTCTCACCCAAGATACTCGCGAACTACCTCTCGTCATCAGTATGAATGACAAACTCAAACTGATACTTGCTCATCCAATATCAGTAGATACTTTCACATCTGCCAATATGTTTCCATTGTAAGTAGCAATTATGAGGTGCTATATCGCAGTCACTGATCACAGTATATCCATTGCTTCGGCGTTATTCTCATCCTCAGTTGTCAAAATATAGCTGCCATTCTTGCTTCGGAATGTGCTTTTTTCAACTAAAAGATCCGAATTTAATTAGACTCACCAGTTAATGAAGGAAATGTATACTCATCTCCTAATGTCGAATTACCACCCTCCTTTGGAATTCCACAGACAAGGTCGAAATATTCATCTGTTTTGGGAGTTTGGATTTGAGCATACATGATTCCTAACCCCTCACTCCGCACCACCTCAGCCCCTTCAACACCACGCAGCCCAGCCAACCCCTTACAATTCCCACAATCCTACAAGCGAACTCATCTTACCCATCCAAACACCCAGATAACCACACGATATCCTCATCCCATGTCATATCTTTTTTTCATCTCAAATTCAATTCCTTACCTTTACATATCTACATCCCTAAATACCTCAAATTCCTAAACCTCCTTTCTTCAACCCCGCACCTCTCTATCTCTATCTCCACCTCTATGCAACCCTTCCCTAAAAGAATATCCACAAAATAATCACATCAATATTAACACACTTCATCCCTCTCCCCCCAAAATCAAACCCCCATATTTTTACTCCATCTACATACACCCACATCCTCTCCCTCATTTCATCACTGTCCAACCACCTCATCAATTATCACCTCATCACTTATTACCCAATATTTCCCTATTTAACTACCTACAACTAAAATTCAAGATTGAAAATTCATTTCCATACCTATTTCTCATTACTTACTCCTCAAGACCCTTCCATCATTCATCTACTGTACCTATCTATCGACCCATCGAAAACATTCGATTTCCTACTCCTAAATCTCGAGAATAGAAGTAGTATGATTTATATAAAGCTTAACCATAACATCCCATTTCCTCAGAATTATCTTACAAAATTCAATCCTTCAGTAAGATACCAAAATAGCATTCCCGAATGCACCTATCTATATAATCTCAACATAATCCAGTTTCTCCATAACTCCTCTCCCTCTTCCCTTCCTTCCCTCTTTCGCAAACTCTCTCAACTCCTTTACTATCATCATCCATACAAACACCACAACATCTACAGAGTTCCTCCATCCAATACTTCACTTCCTCTCCCATTCCATCATATCGCTCTCCTCTTTTCCTCCTTTCCTTGAATCCCACCAACTCCATTCCACCTCCCCTCAAACTTCAAACTCTAAGCAAAACCAACCCAACCCACCTCAACCCAAAATCAAAACACAACAAGAGATCCAACAACACAATCTCCACTCTAATTATCCAAGAAGTATCTCCTGAATATTCCCTAGATATTATAAAAGTTTCCATCTATCCACCAACCACTCACCAACCACTCACTAACCATCAGCAAAGCCTCCCATTACCCAATCTAACATCCAACCCCAAATCCAACCCCCCGCCCACCTACCCCTCTCAAAAACCCCGTATCCCCTCACAAACCACCTCTCTCCCTTCCCTTCCCTTCCTTCCCCTCCTCCCCTCCTCCCCTCTTGCCCAACAAAAACCCCTCCACCAAAAAAATAAAACACATCCTCCACCTCTCCAAAAATCAAATTCCTCCCTCGCGTGGGGTCGAACCACGAACCTCTCGATACCATTCATTTCCTAACAGTCGAACGCGCTAGCCAATTGCGCCACGAGGGACGTCATGTTCCAAATGCTGAAATTTGTACTTATTGTTGTGGCGGGGCGGGATTAATGCAATTATATTATACGTTGGAGGTGGATAGTGGATAGTGGGCAGTGGGGAGTGGGTTTGTGTAGATGGATGGATGGATGGATGGAAATTATTATTTGTGTGATATAGTGGGACGGGGTGGGGTTACAGCTTACAGGTGCGAAAGAAAGAAAGAATGAATGATATTTTTCTACGAGGGCGAGGAAATTCAGGAAACGCTGGAAATTCAAAGTCCAGGGAAGCAATGATGATGAATTTCTCATGATAAGATAAATTATCTGCTAATAAATTACAATACAATACAATACACTATAATCTCATAACTAGATACAATATACAAATATACAATGAAAAATACGACACACCCCAGGAAGATATTATACCATGTTTTCTTTCCTCAATCGAGTTCTTCCTACTGGATTCTCATTCTTCGTTCGTCTTCATTCTTCATTCATTCTCATAATTTCATTCTTTTCTCTGTTCTCTGTTCTCTGAATCTCTGTTCTCCTTCCTTTCCCTCTCTATCCCCAACCATCTAATCATACAAAACCCACCCTTGTTCCCATCACAAACCCCTTTGTGCAATTCACCAACAACCATCGACCATCAGAAAATAAGAGAGATATCAAAGAAATCAAAAAACAAAAGAAAAAAACGCCCCTTCTCATATACTGATATACTAATATACTTAATAAGCCTGTCCCGTTTCAGAAAAAAAAAATGGTTTCCCTCATCTTCGTCCCACCGCTCCCCATCTTCCCACTTCAATACTGACATCCCAAGCCCACACCCGATTACTTCACTACCACCCACCCCACTATCTCCCAACTATTTCATAGTTTTCAAGAATCCCTCTAAATCGAAACTTTCCTCATACTCCTTCCCATCCCACAATTCTCCCAAATCATCCAGCCAACCTTTCTTTCCTTTCTCCCTTACTTCTCCAGTTGCATCAACCATATCCTCTTCTCGTTCGGCTTGAGCACTACTATCTGCTGCTAATGGAACTTCTGATGTATCACCTAGATTAAAGAGGTCGAGGATTTGATCCGTTTCCATAGTTCCCAGACCCGCATTTTGTTGATTGACTACTGTGGATGCTACGTCGATTTTGAATCTTTGAAGACTATTTGGAATAAATTAGTATTTGATTTGTTAAAATTTTTCGAGTGACAAAAGTAGGACGGGAGAAGGACATATGAACGGGATTATAACGAACCTCAGAATCTTTTCCTCCAAAGTACCCCTAGTAATCAATCGATAAACATTAACCACCTTCTTTTGACCAATTCTATGAGCTCTGTCCATAGCTTGTAAATCTTTTTGAGGATTCCAATCATGTTCCACAAAAATAACCGTATCAGCACCCGTCAAATTAAGTCCCAAACCTCCTACACTAGTTGTAAGAAGTAAGACATCATATGAAGGATCGGAATTAAATTTATTGACGATATCTTGACGTTTATTAGCATCAACTGATCCATCCATACGCAAGAATTGTACTGAAGGTAACATCTTCTTAAGAACATCATTTTGAACCATATCTAACATTTCCTTCATTTGACAGAAGACTAAAGCTCGATGGGGTGAGACAAAAGATGTTTCGGTGGTAATTTCATTTTCGGAAGAAGGTTCGGTACCAATACCACAATCAACAAGTAAATCTCGCAAGGCCGTTAATTTTGGTGCGTGAACAGGATCTCGAAGACTAGTTCCTTGTTTGGCAAGAAGTCGTTGAGTATCTTCATATTGTTTATGACCTTCTTTCATAACAAGTGCAGGAGAATTGCAAAGTTTGCGCATATATTGTAGAGCTTGGAAAATATGTTGTTTTGCTTCTTTATCACCAGATGATGCCTTTTCAGCCAGAGTTTTGCCTTCTTTCTTGGTGAAATCCTCGAAAAGTTTCTTCTGTAAATCACTAAGATCACAGTAGTAATTTTGTAAGATCTTAGGTGGTAGATCATCCAAAACCTCTTCTTTAAGACGGCGTAAAAGGAATGGTAGAACTTGTTTATGTAAAGCTTCAATAGCAAGAGCACCAGCTTCTTGTTCTTTTGATGAAGACTTACTATAACGACTAGCGGCAATGGGTTTGGCGAAACGATCCAAGAAAACCTTCTCAGCTCCAAGGAAACCTGGCATGAGGAAATCGAAGAGAGACCAAAGTTCCAGTACATTGTTTTGAATTGGTGTGCCGGAAAGGATGAGTCGATGATTGCTAAGTAGACGTTTGACAGCGACAGTAGTCTTAGCTCGAGGGTTTTTGATTAAATGACCTTCATCTAGAACACAATAATTCCAATTGAGAGGTGATAAAACATCAATGTCATTGCGACAAATTTCGTATGATGTAATGACAATATCAGTTTGACCAAGTTGTTCTCTAAAACGAGCTCGATCGAGTGGAGGTCCAACATAAGCTGTACATGTTAGGAAAGGAGCATATGCTTTAATTTCTTGTTGCCAATGACCGGAAAGAGTAGGAGGACATATGATGAGAGATGGCATTCTTCTAGATTCTGGGGCTCCAGTTTTGGCAAATTCCTCAGCTCTAAGATGATGGTCACTTGCGACAATACATAATGTTTGTAATGTTTTGCCAAGACCCATATCATCACACAGAATTCCATGGAGATGATATTTGTTCAAAAAGTTGAGCCAATTAACACCTTCTTGTTGGTAAGAACGAAGTTCCGCTTTGATGGCGACAGGAATTTTGAATTCCTCAACTTTATGAGGATCCAAGAGTTGACCAATAAAGGTACGTTCACGATCTCTGCCTTGTAATAATTCTTGTGATAAACCAGGAGGATCTGGGATACCTGCTTCAAGTGGAACAAGTTTAACCAGAGTAGCGAAAGAAGTTGTAGCAAGTACTCGTACATCAGTATCTGAATCACTCATTCGTCCAAGAACAGGAACGATGAGGAAAATGACATATGGTAATATACTATCACCCATGACAGCGATAAGATGGTAAATCGATTCAATGACACCTTGACGGAAGTTGAGGTCGAGTGGATTGCTGATAGAAGGCAAAACTTTCTCCACAAGTAAGGTCATAGCTTCTACAGTGATAACACTGCAAACCGTTGCAAGACATTTAGCTGCCATGTAACGGAAGACTGATAATTCCGAGTGAAGAGCTGTAACGACAAGAGGAAGTAATTCCATGATAAAAGGATATAATGATTTATCCAACGTGGGTGTCAAGGCACGAATTACAGACATGCCATCAATAGCTTCTTGTCCAGAGGATTGTGCGGGGTCTATACAGTCTCGTGGAAGGATACCACCAAATGCATGTCGTAGTGGTTGTTCCATTAAACCTTTAAGTGTAGGGACTTTGTTTAACAATTCAGATCCGAATATTGTGGAAAGTTGTTCCAAGGCTTCCTTGGCACCTCTTCTGGTGATTCTCGCTTCTTTGGCTTCTCGTGCAAATTTTGCTGCATCTGGATGATCTTTACGATCTTCTTCTTTCCGTAATGATAGAATGGCAGTTGTGAGAGGAGCATTTGGAGCGAATTCTGGTGTCTCTGAAGTTTCCATACACATGAATTTAACCAGATTTGATACAACCTTTTGTGCCGGTCCAGTACGACCACCTTCTGCGAATATTTCGATAAGTCGGGCGATAGAGAAAGCAGACCGTTGTTGTAATTCCAAAGTTTCCTCTTTTTTGACACTATCCATCATAGACTTGATGATGTGAGATGGCTTCTTAGGTGAAACCTTCATAGCGACCAAAGCACTTGCAGCAGCGGCCTTGATACGGGTATCTCTCAACTCTTTAATGCTCTTTGCGTTATTGATGACTTCGGTTACATTTTCGCGTGCTTCGGTGAGAGCTTGAGTCGCTATCATCCGTTGACCGGGAGAAAGCATTTTCTTTAATCGATCGAAATCCTCGGAAACACATTTATTAGCAGTCACAATAGAGAAAGCATCTGGTCCAGCTTCGGCTTCACCAGCTACGACAACCGCAAGTACAGGTAAACGTCCTTGAGAAACTTTGCCAACATCGCGAAAGGTATTGAGGAGTTGTGAACATTGAGTTCGAACCAAATGTGTGTAGCTGACTAAATCTCTGTATGTGAGAGGGCGTTCAGTTTCGAGAATCTTTGTAAGAGCTGGTTCAAAACGTAAAGCATGAGTCTTTGAGATACAATTTTTGGCGTATTCGTCGATGATGATTGAGGTCGTTAGTTGGGTGGAAGAGAAAGCCGAAGACATTCCTGGAGTGATACTAGCATCGTATGCATCGAGAGCAGGAGCTGGTACGAGTGACATAATAAGACCCATGGCTTTTGCGGCTGATGCACGAGATCTAATCAAAATATCCATACCCACCAGATCCACATCACCTTGCATCATGGGACCATCGACGTCATGTGATGATGATGATGTAGGAGTAGGTTCAACAACCTTTGCAGCCTTTCGACGCTTTTTCGTCGGAGGCTCAGGACCGGAAGGTGTGCTTGGACGAGCGTTACTTGTAGGACCACTAGGTAAGTAAGAATTACCGGATGGTCTTTGGAAAAGTGTGGCGTTCATGGGTAATGGATGTCGAGATACACCAATAGGATGTAACGTGAGTTGCATAAGAGGATCGATGTGTGGTGCAAATTCTGCGGATAGCTGTTCTGGATCTCTTGCAAGGAAATGTACCAGTGCTTTCCATACTTGAAGTGATAAATTTAAAGTATCTTGATTTCTCTCAACCAAAATATTTTGATAGATCAATCGAAGAATTCTTCCATCCATCCAATCTCTAGTCCCTTCACCCTCAATGCCGACAAATGTCAACAAAGCACGAAGAACTGCCGAGCGCACGGATGTGATGGTATGTCGAAGAAAGGGGTACAATCTTGGTACCAAAAGTCCAAAAGATTGTTCAGCATCTCGAGAAGCATTCTTTTTCATAGCCTCTAGTACTTCAGGGAAACTGCAAAGTTTGGCTAACAAGTCCATGATCTGCCCTGTACTAGCACTCAAATCATCACCAAGATTTGAGAGACATTCCCAAACAATATTGATGAGACCATCAAGTGCTTCAGGTCTCAAGTTGACAAACTCTTTAGCAATTGGAATTAGGGTTGCTGCACTAACAGAACGAACGTCGTCATCCCAATCACCTAACCCTTTCATCACAGCACGAATGACTCCATCGATCAAATCGTTATCTTTCAGTAACAAATCGTTTCGAACTGCCACCAAGTAACGAAGACCAATCATACCACCATGACAAATAGCCCAGCCTGGTTTATCCAGTTGAATGTCATTTTGCATAACGAGACGATACAAAATGTGATGGACGGAATAAACGACTGGAGGTGGAAGGTGAATGAGTAAAGCACCCAGAGTCTGACCAATTGTTTCTCGAATCGGTGCAACAACTGTATCTGAAACATAATCCCCAAAACGATCCAAGATAAAAACGCAACACAACCGACAAGCTAAGTCATCAAGCCAACGTTGATTGAGTAAGTTGTTTTCGCTACGAGTCTTTCCTAGTTGTCTTCCAGCGCCGGCTCCATGGACACGTATGATATCCCTCAAACCCATTGCAGCACCATGTCTGGTTTCCCATTGAGGATCGAATAAATCGACCACAAGGAATTCACACAGACGTTCATAAGGCCACTCTGATCCTTCTTGCTCGCCCTCGGTCTCAAGTTCGGATTTGATTGGCATAATTGGTCCCTTGAATTCTGAAACGACTTTGGAATCCTCGTCTATTTCAGAATTTCTTTCCGTTGAGAAGTAATCCGCCATAGGATTTTTGGAATCCTCACCACTAGCATCCGGCATGGAAGTATCTGCATCGTTTGAAGTATTTGTACGTCGTACTGAAAGATCCACTAGCCTACTTTTGCTACCAGCAGTCATAGCTTCTCTTTTTCTCTTTCGTTTCAGTTGATTCAGTTGTCTTGCACTCAGTCCACTTTCTTCCGAGGGTGTAGATGTACCTTTGTTGTTTTCTTGTCGTGAGAAACCATTCGACTCCTCACGTGCCAGTGTGGTGTTGGATCCATTCTGGTTATTAGTTGGAGCTGCGTATTCGAGTTCTTCTTCGGAATATGGACCAAGAAGACCGAGTCGTCCATCAAGTGTCTTCTTTTGATGAGCAAGACGTTGAGCAGGATCCAAAGAAGCTAAAGCCCAATCATGACCTCTATCTCCACCACGAACAAGTTCTTTACCATATTTGAGAATGGATACAATGTCGAGAGTATCAAGACTTAATTGTCCTTCGGCAAGTGGTGTTGGCTCTACGGCTTCTTCCTTTTTGATTCCAGATTCTTCGATTTTTGATTCATCTTTCGCCAACTCGTCCTCACCATTTGGGTCATACTTTTCTGCATTCTCAACAATTCCAGCTAATGCTTTCGAAGCAGCTGTTCGTGTATCCCAAGTCTTATGACGAAGATACGGTACAACTCTTGTTAATAGATTGAAAAGTTCTTCGGGGTGTGATTTCTGTACATCCGCCAATTGCTGAGCAGCAGTATTCCTAATTAATGGAGTGCTTCCTGTTTCCAGTAGCCTGAATCAAAAGTCAGTAGGGGGTAGGGGAAAGAGATGAGGCTCAAATGAAACTCGTCCAGAAGATTCTCGAAATGAAGATCACTGATGATCATATCATATTACAAGAGATCTTCAATTATACAATTCCCGTAAAAATTCCACGGCATATTAAAAGTTTCAAGGGTTTGATTTGGTCTCAACCAAACATAGAAAAGATGGAGTGACCCAAAGAGAAGATACTCACGTGACCAGTCGATCCAATCTATTTCAACGTATCATCATGTCAGCAAATCCATAATTAATTCCCGAAATGCAGCATTCAAATGCAACGCGGCCGCATTGATCACAGCTTAATATTGGGGGTGGTGGAGGTGAAACATTACCTTGAAGCCATTTTCAATACGCGTGTGGTTCATTATCTGTGTGAAGAGGTTTAAAGGGAAAACGCCATATATGCCAAAAGATGGGTTTTGTGAAAGTTCGTTAATCCATTCAGCTTCGTTATCGTTTGGTATAGTCGTCGTCGTGGCAAAAAAAAAAAAAAAAGGTAAAAGTGTACCTGGGGTGATACTTGGAATGATGATTGCAAATATGCAATATCGAAGAAAAGTTTATTAAACGCGTAAATGCAATGAATTAATAAATAAGTAATCGCAGAGAGATGCAAAGAAGTTTTGATGATGTTTTGAAATATAGGTAGGGTTAATGTTGATAGCGACGACGTGTATTGGAAATTGTAGGTAGTAGTAGTAATTGTGAACCTTTCAGCCTTGATCGCGAGGCGGGATATTTTTCAATTGAAGATTTGAATACGGGGGGAAACTATTATTGTATTCTTTTCCCTTTGAATTGAATGGCTGAATTGACTATGGTTGTTGGTGTGTATGGTATGGTTGATCTGGATGATATGGTTGGTATGATTGACATGTATGGTATGTATGGTTGATATGGTTGATTGATATATGTATGTACCGGTATGGATTGGTATGGATTGGTATGGATTGGAATGGATTGGTATAAAATTCGTTGGACTCGTTGATTGGTTGAATTTCCCCTTGTGTGGATTTTGGTGGTTTCTTATGGTAGCAACATGGTCGGTCGGGGAGTCGCCGTCCTTTATGGTCCTTAAGTATTCAGAAAATCCCAATAATTTTCTTAATTCGCTTAAAGGCTTAGCGCTGAACTTATCCCTGTTGCAGTTGCTTCAAGCCTTTCACTAAAATGGAGATCACGAATATGGCTGGGAAAGAGAAGGAAAAAAAAATTGAGTGAGGAGTGAGGAGAGAAGAGTGAGGGGAGGAGAGAGGAGAGAAGAGAGAGGAGAGAAGAGAGAGGAGAGAAGAGAGAGGAGAGAAGAGAGAAGAGAGAAGAGAAGAAAGGAAAAGGGAAAAAAGGAAAGGGAAGTGTGGTTTCGGTATGAATGAAGTGATAGATGAGTGATGGATGAGTAATAACAATTAAGTGAAAAATCAATAGAGAGAGTGAGAGTGAAGAAAACAATAAAAGAAGAGTGAGTACCGATTAGGTCGATACGGTTATTATTTACAACCATGATCAAATCTCGCAATTGATACTCAGTCAAGCCTCATACATCTACCTAGGTACATAGTAAGCAATAACATTGATGAATACCTTCAAATCGCAAATCACGATACACCCTCTCGTTTTCCACTCTTCTTCCACTCTTCTTCCACTCTCCTCTCCATCCAAACCCGATATCTCTCAACTGGCCCGTCTTCCTTCCGTCGGAGATTAAATTTTGATATAATTTTATAGGTTGATATTCCAAGCAAGTAGCCTTGACACAGATTACAGCATACCGTAACTAGTGTGCTAGGTATCGAAGAGTGCATGTGCCTAAGAATCACAAAGTAAATCTACTCTAGAACATCAACGCCGTCCAATGAAACAGGGCAGATGGTATTTGAATTTGGTATAGACTTTGCAACGGTCTTACAACAACGGTAACTACAATGATCAAAGTTTGATATCAGACGACGCGACGTGAATCAAAGGTGCCTTGTATTTGTGATGAAGAGTGATGTCGAGGTACTTATATATATATATATATCGTGAATCATCACCTCATGGCAATACAAAGAGAAGAGACTTGGTATAAAATCAATATGAATATGAATATGAATATCAACATCAACATCAATCGCATCGTACCTATCATACCATTCCACTCATCTCAGGCAAACAATATGAGGATGGCATCCATTCCCGATCCTACAAATAGACATCGGACTTCCGGTTTCATTGGAAACTCCATGTCTGTACAACCAATCACCTATGTACCTAATAGTCATCGCTTGATCACGATTCATCCACGTAATATCGTGCAAAAGCCGAGTGAGGACTGCTTACAGCTTACTGAGTAGGTATTATAGATTGTATGCAAGGCACAATTGAAACATTGTACCACAACACTTAGGTATGGTTGGGTCGAGCAATTACCTATCTTGACAGAAGTCTGCAACAGCATCTGTGAGATAGGTGGGATGAAAAAGAAAAGCGGCTTTCTGGAGTTTTGACAAGGCTGGCCGAGTTACATGCTAAGGAGAGCAGGGCAATAATAGTCCCATCTGAAGAATGAAGAATGAATGACGAGTCAGACTCCAAGTTATCGGTGATGAGATGGAGATGGAGATGGATGATCATAGATGCCGTGATACTTGAATAGGTCTAGAGCAGATTATAGCCCTCCATCTATCATTCATCATTGAGACCGTTATGTTTCGACCCAGCTTTTCCTCTACGAAACTGGGGAATGTGTCACAGAGAAAGATACATAGACAGATGTATTTATATATTTCTACCTAGTGTCTACTATATACATCGATCTATATATATCCGTATATAAAACCCCTTCCAAAATTGGCTTCCATCAAATACACACTTTCCTAAAGCATGCATCACGCTCATTCATCCCTTCTCCTTCATTCAATCACTTGATGATAACGATCAAGGTATTGTGCTCTTTTGTTCACACGGCTCTTGAATTTCATACCCACCAAAGCCAGATGATCTACCGGCCGTGAGACACGTTCTCTTCCCTTTTCCATTGGTCAGAATATATGGGCAGAACGAAAAAGGCGGTGAACACACAACCAAATCAATGGATAACATCAATGCCAGCCTGGATATGCCCCATCCATCACTCTCAAAACTCCATGCAATCAAAGTAACTTGGATTAGACATTGAACGTTGACCGTTAAATCTATTCATCCATCTTTCAATCCACTTGGGACTATCTTGTAAAGCTTCTTTTGTATCTTTTTAATTGTAAGAATCGATTTACAAGCAAACATACTTCACTCAATGCGGTGATCATATCTAATTCTTAGCTACTCTACATCTGCCACCGTCTTGCTTTACACATCTACCTCAGAAATCATGGCCTCTTACAATGTGCCAGCGACTGCCCCTCGACCGGCGGTTTATGGAGGACCTGTACCAATACCTGATCCGTCGGCACCCCCTGGAACTTTCGCACCCGGAACAAAAATCCAAGTCGGATCTCACAAGGTCGTGATTCAAAAGTACTTCTCGGAAGGGGGGTTCGCTCATGTCTACCTGGTGAAAATGCCAAAACCGATCGATGGGACGGATATTGCGGTATTGAAGAGAGTCGCGGTCCCTGATAAGGAACATTTGGCAAATATGAGAACCGAAGTGGAAACCATGAAGAAGTTAAAGGGACACCGCCCAATTGTTACATATTACGATTCACATGCATCACAACTGAAAGGGGGAGGGTACGAGGTATTCTTACTTATGGAATTTTGCAATGGTGGTGGTTTGATCGATTTCATGAATACTCGACTTCAAAATAGATTGACGGAACCCGAAATTCTGAAGATATTCTCAGACGTGGCAGAAGGAGTAGCATGCATGCACTACCTCAAACCTCCCCTTTTTCATCGAGATCTTAAAGTTGAGAACGTTCTCATCACTTCCACTGGTCCTTCTCGAAGATTCAAGCTCTGCGACTTTGGTTCCACTGCACCACCTCGACCTGCTGCTACGACCGCTGCCGAATGCAGATTGATCGAAGACGATGTTCAAAAACATACAACATTACAATATAGAAGTCCTGAGATGATAGATGTATACAGGAAACTACCAATTGATGAAAAGTCGGATATCTGGGCCTTAGGGGTACTGCTTTATAAGTTGTGTTATTATACTACACCATTCGAGGCTCAGGGACAACTTGCTATATTGAACGCAAGTTTTAAATTTCCCTCGTATCCAGTATTTTCGGATCCCCTCAAGAATTTGATAGGTATATCCAATGCTGCGCTCATGCTAAAGGAGAAATTGTGCTAACAAATTCTAGCATCTATGTTGAAAGAGAAGCCAACATCTCGTCCCAATATATACCAAGTTTTGAGGGAATCATGTCTCATGCAAGGAATCGAAGTTCCAATTAAGGATGTATGTTGTTTTGTATCTTCCATCGACAAATAAAAACTTACCATATTAGATATATGCTGGAAGAACCCAGTCAGAATCGCGACAATATCAGCAATTGCCAACTACCGAGTCTCCAACATCACCTCCAGTTGTGGGAGCAGTTTTTGCGCCTCCAACACAACAGCAGACAGTTATACCTGATGTCGTCCCAATGCGAAGGGGAAGACCCACGGCTAATTCACAGCCACAGCCTACAAAACCTAGTCCGTCTCCAATGAGAGGCACAGTTAGCGATCCATTTGCCGCTTTGGATTCTGCAACTTCTGCTCCAGTTGTGGACGAAATCTCCAATCGATTTCCAAGCTTGGATCAGTTTTCAATACTTCATGAAGGAGGCAAATTTGATTTTGGATCTTCCTCACCCACGAAGACATCACAACCTGTTAGCAAACGAGTTACAGAAAGGTTAGCTGATGATGCATTCGCCATGTCAAATCGACCGGGGTCATCAACTTCAACCAATAAGCCATCTCGTGCTCAACAAATTCTATCCAGTAATCCACTAGAGCTTCAAACATCAGATGTACCGGCAACCTTAATATATCAACCCACACCTACTCACCCTGGTGTGAAATCCTCATATGTATCCCAAGGTACAATGACAACACCAACTCCTCCACCTGCAAATACGCGACCTCCTAATTTCACTGCTTCTCCACGTCTCCTTCCATCAGACCATCATCGATCAACTAGTTTACCACGAAACCAAATCGCAACTCCGTCTAGAACACCGACTCTTGAAGCACAAGAATTTTTACCTGTTCATCCTGGCTTACCTCGCACCTCTTCATACAATCCTCAGTCTACTCATTCAAAACATTCATCGTCATCTAGACCGTCACTCGAAATGAGTAGACCTAGCAATGAAGCTCTTGAAAGTACTATTTCTCGAACAAAATCCAGTCTGAGTCGATCACGTCCATCAAGTCAATATTTGGAATCCAACATGGACTTTCTTCGAGAAAAGGAAGGTCGTCCCTCGATTGATTCTCAACGACGTCCATCATATTCTAGGGATTTTGCCGTCACCGATTCAACTGATGATGATCCTCAATCAAATGTCGACTTTCTTAAATCAATGGAAGATCATGAAAAGGTCAAGAAAGATAGACGTCGAAGTAGTGGTTCAAAATCCAAACGTTCCAGCATGCCTACGATTTCGTTATCTGGAACCAAAAATCTGTTGGCGGGTAAATTTGGAGATGCTTTCAAAAGATTTGAAAATAATGCTAGTGCTCCACCCGGTCCAAGAACCCCAAGTCCTCTACATGATCTAGATCGACGTGACTTGACACCGATAGCTGGATCCGAAGCAACAGATGATAGGAGTGATGATGGAACGGTAGATGACAATGTGACACCGGAGCAAAGAAGAGAAAATGAACGAAGGAGATTATCAATTGAAGAAAAACGTGTTTCTGATGCAGCAGCCGAATATCGAAAACGACTTGCAGATCGTGGTGGTGCACCAGCCCCAAAGAGCATTGGTGGTGTAACCCGAGCCGCAAGTATTCAACATAAAGTCAAAAGCCTCTTGGATGAAAATAGTCAACAACCTTCCCCAAAGAAAACGGCAGAAGGCTATGGAAGATATACCGATATACCAGGTCAACCTAATCCTTTACCAACCGGAAATCCATATGGAAAACCTTCTGTAATTCGCAAACCAGCTCAACCTTCAATTCCTTCATCTGATCTCAATTATACTAAACCTCGTCCTCAACAAATACCTCCTCAATTACCAGTTACTAAAACAGGACCAAGACCAAGTGCTCCACCTAAACCTACACATCTCAATAATATGAATACGGGAGGTGGTCTTGCTACCAACAACTCTCCACCTAAACAGTCATACCTAGCTAATAGAGGTGCGCCTGGGATGCAACCGAGATCGGACATGACGTCCTTGGAAAAAGAAGAATATCTTGCGGATTTTAGTAAAAGATTCCCGAGTTTGAGTAGTATTGAGATGGTGGAGAGGGAGATTGAGAGAGAGGGGGAACAAAGTACAGGGTTGGGAATGGGAATGGGGAGGAGAGATGATAGGCCTAGGGTTACTAAGGAATTGTAAGTTCCCGGTTGTAGATTTGGAAGGAGGGGGGTAGAGTGGTTGGAATTGGAGGGGAGAGGGGGAGGTGTAAATTATGGAGTGTTGTGATGTGATGTGATACGGTAGTTGGAATCATGGTATGTTATGTCATGTTAGCGGTACATGCATGTAAATGAGTGAAGATATACAGATAGGGCTGTAGTAGTAGTAGTAGGTATCTGGATTCTGAAATAAAAGGGATATTATGAAAAGAGGGAAAGATAGAGGAATAGATAGAGGAATGAATTAGAAAATTTATATACATATTGATTGGTGGTTGATTGGTGTGTATTACTGAACTAAGTGCGTGGTTGAGAATTATGTACCTATGCGTGTATTGAATCAACGGCGAATGAATGTGTGGCTTCCTCTGCCTTGTTGTTATTCTGTTGCACGTAAGTGGTATTAGAAGATTTAAATTTTCACAGTACTGTATGCACACATGCCCCACGAAGAATTCTCGCTCAATACATGAATCTGATCATATCATGTTTCTCCCCAATTCACATTATGCAAACTCCCAAGACATCTCCCCATTCGACTTATAAACATCACTGTTCCCAACTCCCTACCACAATCCATTCATCACCCGTCTGACACCCAAACGAAGGTGCAAGTGCTACTTCTCCAAAGACGCGCTCGCTTTCTTCATCCGTGTCCCATTCTTCGTCGAGAGAGAGGTGGATGTTGTCGGTTAGTTTTTCGGGGGGTGGGGATTCTTCTTTGGGGGAGGGGGAGGGGTTTGGTGGTGTGGCTTGCAGCTCGTGAGATTTGGGTTCAGGGGTGGGGAAGCTCGCTTCTGTGGTTGGAGCTTCGAGGTATCGCTCGGGAAGTTCTGCGATTTGGAGTTCTTCCTCTGGTGGGGTATCAGAAGTTGGATCGTTGAGCTCGGTGGGCTTGCTGGATGGGTGAGGGGTGCTCTCTTTATGGGTTGGAACTTGGGATTGTGGCTGCATGAGTTCGTCTCTTTGGAGTACTCTGGTTGCGATGCTAGCTGTGAGACTTCTGAGCTTGGTGGGCTTGGCTGAAGGTTGAGAGGTATCCCTTTTCGAGAGGATTTTTGCGCGTTGTGGGGTCTTGACCTTTGTAGCAATTGGCTGGAGCTGTGTGATTTCGTGCTCTTTTTCTGCACTGTCACTTTGTTCAACGACGGGGCCTTCAATTGAGGAAACAAGAGTTGCAGGAGGTATAAGGTCGACGTTATCTATCTTGGATTGAAGCTCATATTCCTGCTTTGCTTCACCTTGATTCTGCACCTCGTCTTCCCCATCCTTTCTGCGCCACTCCTCAGGAACCTCCTCTCTCCTCAATCTCTCACTCTTCTCCCTCGCCCTCACCAGCTCTAGAACTCTCCTGCTCGCTGGAAAACTACTCGTCACCTTTTCAAAATGATCAATATCCTCCTGTCCGAGTCCCAATTCCTGCATCTTCCTCCGAATCTCAGGATGCGTGGCTGCTTCCTCATGACGACGTGCGCGCGCGAGAGTTTTACATTCCATGCAGCCGCGATCGAGAACGTAGCGAGATACTTGCACGAGCTCGTCTTTGTGGTGGGCGTAGTTCTCGCAGTCGGTTTGAGAGGTGTGGGGGAGGAGGGCTTGGGGACAGGGAATCCGGTGGAAGATGTGGGGGGTGTTGAGGGAGGGGTGGTGGGGACAGCTGTATTCTAGGTTTGGTTAGTTTGGGATGGTAGGGGGAGAGGGTGGAAAGGGGAAGGGGGAGTAAGAATAACCTTGAACAACATATATACATCGTTCTGTACTCTGTGTCTGCTTGGAACCAGACGATTTTGGCGAGCTGATTCGGTGTTGACCACCAAGGGTTTCTGGGAATGTGAATTTAGCAGTTTGTGAAGACATCATTACTATATTAATGTTGAATTCAAAAATAGAAGTCGATGTCGAGATGGAAGTAAAGTCTTGTGGGTAGTGCTTGAGAAACTTGTGCTATGTCGACGTCGAGGATGTGTTGAGAATGTGTATGAAGATCTGAATGTATGATGTAAAGTTTACTTGTAATGTTATTGCAAAGAAGCTGAGTTCGATTTATGTTTATATGCAGCATGTCTCTGTTCTGAATGCCGTAGCTTAAGATGACTAGAGGAATGTCGTACTGATACTGAATCACAAATACGGTATTCTTACAGACAGAGTCGTGGACATATTTATAGCCGTACATTTCTTATAAGATCCATTCATATTACTCTCAGAGCCGAGTCGGGAAATCGCTAATGGAATTCTGTTACACGGTTTACTTCCATACTGGAGACAAACAGGTAAGAGAAAAAGACGAGATAAAGTCAGACTCCTGTTTCCACGGGGGGAATCTTGTGTGCACAGTTGGTTAACACGATCATGGTAAAGGAGCATATCTTAATAATTGCTAGAGATCTGCTTTGATATGCTGGATACATACAATCAAGAACATGGTCTTATTTGAAATAACCACCGCATTACATTCAAGTCATCTGCATTAAGCTATGATATTGTGCACAATATGAATGCTCGCTCTAATCAACCATTCGTAACACATTCCTCAGTACTAGGAGAGACAAATTTGCGCCCTTAGATCATGGAACATTATACTCAGTTTCTCATTATCTCTCAAATTATACACTCGCTTCATCCTTTGGTCATTCTCCCATCTATCTCGGCATTTACCTCACTACATTTATACATTCGTAGGTGACTTAATTAAAAATAGCCGAGATGGAATAAATGGAGTTGAAATATCACTCTGGTGTTAAATCGAACAGAGAAAGACGGGTCTGTATTTACACCATCTTTATTTCCACGTAGAAAAAGAAGTTTTGATCATCATATACCGAATAGCGATGAAATTGAACATAACAAGAGGATCTAGAATGTAAAATCTCATCCTACAATTCCGATTCAAGTGAATTTTTTTATCCCGAAAATCACTGAGAAGAAGTAAAACCCCCCAAGAAGCCCCAATTAATACCTGATTCTACCTTCTAGCCTCCCAAACCCCTCTAATCTCCATTTACAACCTCCTAAATTTTCCCCATAAATCCTCCCAGCATTTCTTTCCCTTTTCCCTCCCACATCTCAAACTCGAATTGAACACTCCACACCCATTCCCATAATGTTCACACCCCTCTTCAATAACAACAGAAACACGTTTTCTCTCCGCAATCATCGGTTTCCTTTGTGTTGAAATTGCTCGTTGATATTCATATGTCATCATTCGTTTTTCTCTTCCGTTAGAGCTCCCATTTCTGCAAAGCGTGTATATCTCCAGGGAACTTCGGGTTTTCATTAACGAAGAAAAAGGAGTTAATGGTATTTCTACATTTTGATCGCTTCCCGTTTCCCTCCTCGGACAAATAGTCGTTTCATCATCCGTATTCGGTTTCCAATCCATCCCTGGCATATTCTCCTTACGCATCTCCATTTCCACCTCCAAACCATTCCCCCTTTCTTCGTCCTTTAACCGAAGCTCCCCGCTCGAGCCTCGCTCCTCCATCTTCAACTTCTCACCCCGCACACAAACCTCACATTTCTCTCCCCCATTCCCCAAAATCTCATACCGATACCCCGGACTCGAACAACAGCCTCCGAATCTCGCAACACAATTTTCCGTATGGATGATATTGGTCGGATGCGTAAATGGTTGCACGAAATGGGAACAGGAGTGTGTGGTAAGGAGATATATACATTTTTTGTGGTGGGTCTGGATCTGGGTTTGAATGGGGAGATGAGATGTTGAGAGAGATTGGGATTGTGATAGCGGGTGTGGGGATAGGGATGAGGATCGAGGTGTGAAGGATGGTGGGGATGGGATGGACATTTTTGGGGGATGGCGATGATTTGTTTGTTTGTTTGGGTGTTGGAGATTGCTTCGATGGGGAGATTTGGTATATACGGATAGAGGTGTAGCCCCAATTTGAAGATGCTAATCGTAGGATTACGTTACAATTTTATAGAAGATGTGAAGACTTAGTAGAAAATAGAAGGAAGAAAAGTGTGATTCATATCTCTAAGCTTGTGAATAGGTATGAAAAGGTGATGTCTGCAAAGTGGTGAATGGATTTGGGATGGAGAGTTTCCACCATTTCTGTACCTTTTTGGAATTACTGTTATATCAAATAATCAGATTTTTGATCCTGAATCAACACAAAAAGATTGTTTGGTTGGTCATTCACAAATAAATTCTGCAAGATTTGTGAATGGTGAAAGTTGCGATGATACTGAAAGACGTAAATAGTCCAGATGATAGCGACGATTTTGCTTTTAAAAGTGTGTAGAGTATTGAACTAACATTCAAGACAGACAAATTTAACAAGATATATAAATCCTGCTTTCTTTCATGATAATCACACAATATTCCAGCTCTCCTCTCCATCATCCTCTAACAACCTACCCCATACCACAATACCCAACTAGAGCCCCTCAAACACACTCTCTAGCCCATCCCTCAATCTGAACTCCGCATACGGACCCACATGCGTACTAGCCAAATGATCCATCAACTGAAACTCATTTACTCTTTCCCTTCCCCCCATATCACCCACTACCCCCTCCCCCACCTCCCCCAACCCCCCATCCCTCGGTCTCCTGAAGTCAAAACAAAAGATCATCCTCGACATCATAAGCCCCATCTCCATATACGCCATCGTTTTCCCTGGACATCCCCTCGGTCCCAAACTAAACGGTGCAAATGCCATTTTCATCTCCTCAATTTTTTCCTGCGGGCTATCTTCCGATACTATCCAACGTTCAGGTTGAAATTCAAAGGAGTTACGGAAATAGCGTTCATTATGTTGTACAGCATAGACTGCACATCCGATATCATAGCCCGCAGGAACAAGTTCACCATCGATAGTGATACCTCCGGGACGAACTTCCCGCCAGAGTGCGGAGCCGAGGGGTGGACTCATGCGGAGAGCTTCTTCAATGCAGGCGCGTAGATATTTGAGGGAGGTGATTTCTGGGCCGCTGTGAATTTCGGAGAGAGATGAGAAGGTAGATCGGATTTCTGTGGCGACTTTTTCGTAACATTTTGGGTATCGAGAGAGGTAGAAGAGAAGTGCGGAGAGAGTCGTCGAGGATGTATCAGAACCTATTTGTGTGAGTAGAAAACATATCTGGCGATTCTGGAAATGTAAAAATATACCCACCAGCAGCAAGTAAAAATCCACTCTCAGTAAATAATTCCGAAACCGTCATTGTTTCAATATCTTCATGCTTACCATTATTCGAATACTGCGCATCGAAAATGAAGGCAAACAAATCTTTCTTTGAATTCTTATCTTCCTTCAGCCTATCTGCCACCAATTTACTCACCGTAGAGTAATATCTCATAACCGCCGTATGAACTTTCCGGTAGAAAAACCTTTCGATTCTTATTTTTTGAAAAGCTTGACATTGGAGTAAAACACCCCCTCTCGTTGATATACCTGCAACCATTCCAGAAAGAAAATGGTTATCAGAAGATGTTTGTAAGTTGAATGATTGTCCAAAGCCAAATTCTCCCATGACGTCTAAAGACATATGTTTAAAGCTAGTACCCATATTGATAGGTGTCGACCATCTATCTTGACTTTCGCTTTTGATAGATGCCTTAGCTAGATTTTTAATCAAGAGATTAACAGTACTGATCATTGTTGGCTCGAAAGCTAGCAAAGATGGAATAGAGAAACCTTTTGAGAGAACCCTTCTTTTGTGTTTATGGACTGAGAAATCCACTGCATTGTGGACGTTATGTACACCTGGTGTGGTGACTAGAGCAGCATATCCTTTTGATTTTTGAACATTTTTCGATGAGTAAATCTCTGAACATCATGAATTAGAAAACGGTTATTCATAAATAAAAAGAGAAGTACCTTGAAGAGCTTCAGCCGAATTAAAAACCAACTTATTGGGGCCCAAGCGAACTACACTCCCTGGAAAATATCTCAGCAGCTGCTAAGGTTAATTTAACCGATCTTCTCACCATATTTATCATGAGCTTGCAATGTTCTAATTTGAAGAGTTCCTCTCAAACTATGATAAGCAGAATACAAATCTGTGATCTTTGCCCATCTTGGGCCGGGATACTTTGCAAATGGATGGAAAGTGATACGATAAATTGCAGTGAGAAAGAGCTGTGGAACTCGTTAGCTATTGAAAAACGGGAACTGTTTGGATAAGAATAACCTTGAGAAAGAATGTAGAGAAGATGATTTGTAAAATTACAAGATAGGAAGGGATGCCCGCAAAGGACTCGAATGTCGACATTTCTTCGGTAAACCTTTCACTCAATCCCATGTTTGTAATACAAGAGGTTGCTGAAGTTGACACAGAGATCTGGCTATCTCGATCATCTTATAGAGATAATTTTACCATGTAGATGATTGTTATCCAACATTCGGAATGAACAGCTGGAGACAGAGTAGTAAGCTTTTAGTATAGACCATGAAGTCCATCAGCAGATTAGCAACATTAGTCCAATGAAGAGTTGTTGTATGTTGTCTACCCCATAACAATTATATGGGTAAGAGCTCACGTTTGTCAGACGCTAAAATGAAGAAGCCAACAGTTGGTGATGACACGGATCAAGACACCCTATGAAATCTTGATACCGATTGAGGCGATTAGTGAACATGCCACCTGGGTAGGATAGTATAATGCCAAAAACTCGTAATTTCAGTCCAATGAAGAAGCAGGGAAAGAATTCAATCTATCACCGTAAGTAGTATGCCACATATCAACCGAATGACTTACATTCCACAACATTTCTTCCAAACATTTTATTCCCTCACACCCCTTACTGATGACCAAATCTAAATGTGAGATTCCAATCACTGAAATCTAATCAGCATCTTAGCTTTAAATACTCAGATTGGATCTAGGAGATGAGAGGTCCATCATTACGAGCATTAGCCCAACGCTATCTGTACATTGAAATATTGATAAGAGTGAAGAGGCAACAGGCAAGAGGCAAGAACCAGTAGATAACACAATACCTATTTGTCCAAAAAGAAAACGATCGAGAAGAACACCAGTGAAGGATCTGACAGCTCCGTTCATATTCCCACCACCAAATCCACAAACTCCAAATAACACAAGTATCCTCCGCAACAAAAGATATTCATCCACATCTCCAATCATCTAACCATCCAATCATTTACCCATACTTTTAATCTCAATGCACCAAATCACCAGCGTCTAAACTTCCAGAAACTCCCAATCAAAACGCCTCTTCTTACCTTCCTCAATATCAACTACATGAGCCCGCGCCGGTACCGTCAAAACATCCCCAACTCACAATAAAACATCTCAAACCGAGGAATCTCCTGCAGATAAAAATTAGCACCCTCATACCCCGTTTCTCCACGCATCGACCTTCCTTCCATCCCCTTATCTAGCCGTCCCAATATATCCTTTACAAACTCATCCCATTCCATCCCACCTAACTAAAACCTCTCTACCCCAACTCCTAACATTCACATGTGGCCTCTCTGCCACCTTCCCAAACCCCCTTGCAAACCACTTCGTAGAAAAAGACAAAGAAGCCAGTGGGCGCAATGTAATAAGACACCCGGATATAGTATACATACTACATTCAGTATCAGCGAGTATGATGAGTGTGACAGCTTTCCAGGTTTCATCACTTTCGTAAGAAGATGAAAGGATGCGTGTGAAAGCTATGAAGCGTAGTAGAGAAGTGATGAGGCCACTGTGATGATTTGATTTGTGAATTTGTGGGGAATATATCGAAGCGAATCTCAAGGATTTCGAAACGATCAACAAGACTCACAAGCTCCCAGTAAGAAAAGTGAGAAAAAGAACAACTTTCCTCTTTCTCGAAACATGACGTTTCCAGACCGTCGAGATAGGCAGAAAAAGTAACATCACATCTGTAAAAATGCTCGGCACACTCGCCCATGTGATATAGAATCGTCGGTCGATATACATACCATTTGCCCGTGAATTCACCACCGATTCCCATGTATAGCTGATCGGTGCACACTGCCAAATCACCACCGCTATATTAGTTATCGTGTTACCGATCACAACTGCCCTTGTGATATGAAATATAATACGGGCTTTCTTCGATTGGAAAATACTGAGATACATTGAGAGGATAGCTAGTTTAGGGAATGCAGACGCCAGTTGATAGTTGATGGGAAGAATAATAGTCTGTTTTTTACGTTGTAGCTCAGTACTTCCGGTGAAGTGATAGCAGCGATATCATGACCCACGCCACCATATTTGACAAGTTCTTATGATAGGTGCTTAGTAGATGTCTATTATATATCGACTAGCAATTGCGCCTCACGTATGGAACATATGTACATCCCAATGCAGAATGCGAATTGAATAAGAACAAGGAAATCCCCCCATCCTAACATATATTTGAGATTTCGAGCCCACAAATGAAGAGTTATAAAAAAGGTATTCAAAATGATTAGGATGATTGAGTGTTGATGAGTCGATACCAAATATATGCATCCTTGTAATTTTGGGGAACTAATATAGACTGACGACTTTCGGAGATCATAACCACTAGGTCCAATGATAAAAAAAGGAGGTAGATCAATCGCCACGCGAAAGATTGAACTTCTTGAATAAAATTGTAGTATGAGAATTACTTTTATCAAAATGCGATGTCATTGAAACAGGAAATCTTGCACGTTCAATACGCCATCTTTATAGTTTCCTCGAGAGACCCAGGAATACCGCCACAAAGATTCGGACGACGGATATCCCGTCATCTCATCTCACATTATTTCCATTTTCAAGCGAATGCGATTATGTTACACTTGTAGGGCTGGAGTTCAGCAATCAGGTCTAATGGTTCATCAAGGGTGTATTGTTGAAGAAAGAGTAATCGGAACTGGAATGTGCACATATTACAGTATGGCTTGTAGTGATGACAGACGGCCGAATTCCGCCTATCATTTGCACATTCCACTAGAAAGGCGACACAGCATATAAGATCAGGAAATTCATCACAAGTCCAAACTCGGTTGCACGCACTTCCTAACTGATCATCAAAATTTAATGCAAAACAACGTAGAATCATCCAAACTCATTATATACAATATCGAATCGATCCGTTTAATCCTCTCCACTTCATCTCCATTTCCACATTCATTGATCATTAACCATTATTATTTCCCGTAGCCACACCCCAGAAATACGCACACCACGAACCCAAAACCAATATCACCAAGGCCCCAATACAATACTTTGAAATCTTACGATTTCTCGGTCCGTTCTCATTATGAAATTTTTCCTTTCGCTCATTAATCAAATCACCATTGGCGATTCTCTGTTTGCGCGTCCATTGCAAGATGCGGAAGTCAACGCAATAATAGGCGAGTCCAATCATGATCAGTGCCATGAATGCCGATGCTGCGGAAAGAGCAACGTAGAGAATCGTAACTTTGTTGTAAGAATTGTTATCTGCGTCTTGGATTACTCCGGCAACGATACCGACGATGATGCTCATGCTGTTTTCATATTAGAAGAGTGTAGGTGGGTTGAGAGAAAGGGGACTTACGCGTTGTTCATGGTTATTTTAAGAGCGTATGCGGATCCGAAAACTCCTTGATGCCACATTGATGTTCTGATACTATCGATGATCAAAGTTGGACCGAAACAGTATGCAAAAGCGTAAATGCCGAATGCAGCATCTGTACCCTTGATTGAAGGAGCCCAGTTCACAATAGACATTGATATTAAACAAGCAAAACCAGTGATGGCAACTACAATATGTTAGCAGAAGATTTGTGTAAAAAGTAGATGGTGTCACTCACAGAGGGTAATTCTATTTCCCCATACATCAACGAATATTCCAATCAGAGGAACAAAGAAGAACCCTAAAATGATCAGTATGGTCTTGCTAGATTTCTCAATGTTGTAGGATACTTACCGCCGTATTGAATAGCTGATGTATACCATCCAGCTTGTATAGATGATACACCCAATCTTTGCTCAGCCATTTCTGTAGCATTACTAGTAAAGAGACCAGCAGTCGATGTTTCAAACAATGAAAATGCCAAAATGACCCAGAACGTCCAAGGTAATTCAAGAACTTTGCGTAACTCAAATCTCTTGTTGCCTTCTGTAAGTTTCTCGCCAGTAGCTGGATCAGATGTAGAAGGAAACTTTTTATTGGCGAAGCGAGTAAAGATGTAAAAGCCAAGGGTCATCAAATTGCAAAAGACATTCATGCCTACTGAAACCCAATAGACATTTGCAAAGTTTCCGGTGTTCTTTGAGATGATGTTTGCGGATGATTTACCAACAAATGCACCAATTTTTCCAATTCCCAACTCAAGCGCAAGAGTCGAAGCAAATCCATGATTGGGAGCGAACCATGAAGAGAAAACTTTGTATTGTGCAACTTGAGTAGCAATATCTCCAAAAGCTTGAACGATTGTACCACCAATCATGAATTGATAATTTCTAGTCTGAGCAGCTCCGGCAATGAGAATTGATCCAATTGTGAAGATTATGTTGCCATAAAAGATTGCGCCTAGATATAGTGAGTAAACGGAGAAGAACTGAAAGTTTAATATTCTTACCTGCTCCTCCTACTCTATCCGTAACAATACCACTAACCATCATTAAAGCCGTTACCATAAAGTCTTGACTGGCACTCAATAAAGCATATTGTTTGTTATCAATATTCATCTCCTTCTTGATTGTTGATTTCATTGCACCTGTAATTCCTGAACTCCAATGAGAACCAAAACCAATCATCGACACTAGGATGACTGAAGCAAGCTTCCATTGCCAAGGTATATCATTCCCATTGGATTGTCCATCATTATTGGCGATATCTGATCGATGTTCCTCGTTATCGCTTGAAGAAACCGCTGATACAAAGGCTTCATCTTTCTCCTTAGTATCGTGTTCCATTGATGGCGTTTTCGATGTCGAATAGACAGTCTCAACTATCTGGTTATTTGACATAGCCGAAGTTTATCCTCGAACTTCGAGGTAAGGCTGAAAAGATAGGGAACGAGTAGTTCGTGAAGTGGGTCAATGTAAAATCGAGAAACTTCCTCATATTTGAGTTTATCTGATCTTCTTTATAGAGTTTCAATGCAATGGTTCTTTATTTTCTATGACCAACGTGAATACGACTTCGGCCCACTAAACGTTGATGATCCGATACAAATTATCGTTGGGAAAATTGAAAGTTGGGAAAAAGTTCCCGCAATGTCTGCTTGGCACATCAGAATTTTTATCAGATGGTTCGAACAACAAGGATTTATATCTGATAAGAAGTCTTAGCCCGAGAATGGAGCTAC